AAACCCCTGGAGGCCATGCTGGGTCCCTGGCCGTGAAAGGGAGCGCAGGCTGATGACAGGACGCAGGAATAACGTCTCCAGCCGACACTTCCGCTCTGCCTCTCGGGACCTTCCTTTCCCGCGAAGCTTGTGGTGTCCATTCCCTGCGTCCCAGCTCCACCCTGAGAAGGTGCCTGTCCCCTGTGCCCCCCCACCCCATCTCGTTTAGCGCTGCTAAATGGCAAGCTCAGAGACAGGCGGCGAGGAGGGGCTGGGGTAATGAACTCCCGTTGGCTTCCTTCACAAGATCACTGTCTTAATTTACGAGGCCTGAGTGAGTCTCATTTCCCCAGTGCGTGTTGAGTAATTAACTATTAATAAAAGCATTACTGAGCTAACCACGGGGGCATGTTTAATTCATGGGACAGCCCTACAACAGGACAGAGGCTCCGGCTCAACGGGGGATTCCTCCCAGAGCAAAATGTGGCCAGCGGGATGCTGCCCCTCGGCCCCCTGCGGGGGGCCATTCTTTATGTCCCTCACCAGAGGAGCCCAGTCCCGGAGGGTGTCCTGGCTGCAGGCACCCCAGCCGGAAGGCCACACTGCGGCGATGTGCAGTATGCGGGGCAGCACCGGAAGTGGGAGCCAGGGAGGTGAGTGACCTCGGGCCATCCACCCAGCCTCTCCAAGCCTCTGGACAGTGGGGCAGCTCACAGAACCAGCTTCCCAGGGCCAGGCTGCAGGAGTGAAGCCAAGGATGGGACAGGGTGTGGTGAACAACCTGATGCTCCCCACTTATGTGGCATTATATTTAGGGCCCCCGCTCTCCTCACCCGGAGACACAGGCAGTTGGTGAGTGTTGGGGAGAGAGGGAGAAGAGACCTGCTTGTTCAAGAGCCACCTGGGAGGACACCTCTTTGCAAAGGAGGGGCTTTGCGCTTTGCAAAGGAGGGGCCCCCTCCTCTTACCCGGTGAACTAATCCCTCCAGTACCCAACACGCCATCCTTGTGCCCCTGTGTCTTCACATCCGCCACCCTCCCCCGCCCCCCAACTGCTATGCCTTTACTCCTATGTCAGCTTGGCAACTCACATTCAGTCTTCAAGACTCAATTCAACATGGTCAGCTCCTCCTGAACATCTTTGCTCTCCTCCTTCCCTGGGGAGAATTGGTTGCTCCTTTGTCTGTGCCTCCCATCCATTCTTCTCAAATGGATCTATCCATCCATCCGCCTATCCACACACCATCCATCTACCCATCACCCATCCATCTGTCCATCACACATCCATCCATCATCCATATTGAGGACCTATAGTGTGATTCTCTGATCATGTTGTTTGGAAGTTTTCGCAAGTTTGGCTTTCCCTAGACCAGTGGTTCTTAATCTTTCAGGGACCAGGCACCTTTTCCCTGAACAAATGCCTATGTGCACGTCCTTGTCAGATGTTCTTTTCCGCTCTTTAGGGACCCCTGGTCATCCTGGAAGCCAGGCTGCGACCACTGGACGTGGTGGAGGCTGCGATGAGCGGCTCAGGTGCCCCTTTGGGAATGGAAGACTGATTCTCCAGCAGCCGGGAGTGGGGCGGGAGTCAGCCCCCTGGAGAGTCTCTGGGTTGGAAGAAAACAGCCTCCCCCAAAGTCAGACCTCCGTCCGGGGGTAGGTCCACTTCCAGTGACGGTTCAGTGTGGACGTGCCAAGGCCTTGGGAAGGTCTGAAGGGTGGTCTCACCTCAAGGGGTGGCTCCCCACGAGGTCCTGAGCCTGTGGTCGGGACTCAGCCTCTCCCACTCCCACAACCTGCGTCCTTCTGTGTCCTGTGTGTGCTTTCCCTACCACCCTTGCTAAACATTCTACACTCTAATCTCCATCCCTGAGGCCACTTCCCAGGGAACCTACTGGATTAAAAAGGTCCTGCAGAAGTTCCTCGAGGACAGCGACAGTGTTTTAATGACTTCTGTTATCTCCAGCGGCTCCCACGGGGCAGGGCGTGTGGTAGATGCGCCAGGAAAATTTATCAAATGCATGTTAATGCATTTCCCCCTGGTTCTCTGTTCCCTCGCTGTCGTCCGGGTGGGAGAGTGCTCATCAGATATCCAGGGGAAGGGGAGAGCCCTGCCAGCAGGGGACTGGCAGAACCACGGCTGCGGGTCTGTTTCCGGGAAATGAACTAGTTGCCAATGAAACTGCAGATAACCATGGGAACAGAAGTCAAGGTAACTGGTTACCACATGGCAGGGGCAAAGGGCCAGGTGGATGTCAGGGCTGTGTGGTGAGGGCCAAGGTTCAGGGTGTGGCTGGCGGGGTGAGGCCGGCAGAATGGGCGATGGTGCTGGCGAACAGTTCTTTCTTGCAGGGCCAGCCTTTTAGAGGTGAGGATGGTCCCTGAGACCGGGAAAATTCCCACATTAGTTCCCATGGTTGGCAATTCCTTCACAGAACAAATATCTAGTAAGTGTCTCCCCTGTGCCACCTACTGTAACAAGGAGGGTGGCCCTGAAAATCCCGGGACTGCAATGCTTGTCCTTCTCTCACTGGCTTTGTCACCTGGGCAAGGTGTGACTTATGCTCGTTGCTGTCACTGAATGGCTATTACTGCATGCCCAGCCCTGTGCTACTGCTCTACAGGTATTATTTGGTCTTTACAATAGCTTCATTAGGGGCTAAGTATCAGGATTCCTGCTTTACAGACAATGAAACAGGCTAAGGGGCGTCAGCAACATGCCTGAGACACACCCCTAATCACAGGGCAGAGCTGTGGACCCAAGTCTGGTGGAGTCCCTGAGACATGCCGTCGGCCACTATTGTGCTTAACCTCCATGGGCTCAGTCCACAGCTATGAGATGGGTGCCGTCAGCGCCTGCCGCACTGGGGTTTGGGGATTACGTAGCCTGCGTGAGAGGCCCCGAGAGTGTCCAGTGACCGGTCCATTCTGGTCTTCTTCCCCCTTCCCTGGTCCTCTGCCTCAACACATCCCTGGGCTAGAAGGAAGGATGAGCCCATTCGCCATCTCTCCAAGAACAGAGGTCTCTATCCCAAGTTCAGCACACTGTCTGGCATGAGATCGGCACTCACTGAATGTGGTCAGCCCCAACGGGTGATCGGAGGCCCCGCCCTCAGTTCTCTGCAAATCGGGGCCGGCTCAGGCCCTCATTAGTCTCTAAGGCAGAAAGCTGTGGCAAGTGCCATGAAGACCATTCTCTTGGACCATGTAACTCCACTCTCAAGCCCCTGGGATTTCCCTTTTTTCTCAGCAGAATGGAACAGAAACAGACGGGGGTGAGGCCCTGAGTGCTCGTGGCAGGAAAGGGCACTGGAGCGAGGATGAAGGTAAGGTGAAGGCATTCCTGGCCCTGCCTGCCGCTGCGCCTCTCCCACAGGCGACCCACAGCTTGTTCGCATCCCCACCACGACCTCAGCTGCAGGCATCCTCCTATATTGGGGGCAGGAACCTTCCTTCCATGGTAGGCTCCCGCGAGAGTCGGTGGGCATGTAAGCACTTAAAACTCGAGCCTGTAGGTCAGCCCTCATTCCCTCCTCCCTCCTCTGCAGAAGCCCTGGAGCTGTAGGCTTCGTGGGGACAGACACCACAGCCTTGGAGAGACAAGTCACATCCTCAGCCTCCTGAAACCTGTGCAAGCACCGAGTTACCATGGCAACACTGCAGCCCTGAGATGCAATGGCTGCAGACAACATAGGTGCTTCTAGGGCTCAAAGCTGAGGGTGAACACAGTCTGGCCTGGGAGGCCAGGCAATTGGGTGGGCAGGGAGGGGGAGGAGGGAAGAGAGCCCTCCTCTAGGATTGCTGGTAATTGCTGCTAAGTGAGGGGCTGTCACTGAACCCAACATGCGGGCGGCAGGGCCCCTGCTCTGTACCTTGTAATTACTGCACCAGACAGCAGCTCTTGCTCCCTGTGCGGGAAGATGGGGACAGTGTGGGGGGGAGGTGCAGGCAAGAAGCTCTCATCCACCTGAGCCAGAGGGGCTCTGGCAGGCTCTCCCGCAGGCCCAGTGCCCTGCGACCCGAGCTGCTTCTCATGCAGCGGCAAAGGTGTGGGGGTCCTGGCTCCACCTTTCTGCTGGCTCTCCCCACATCACCTCGCGTGGAGCCCAAACTTCCTTTAATCCTGGCCTCTGAGCTTGCAGACTCCAAGGGGCCCAGGGGTGTAGGGACCGGGTAAGGCACCACCCCGTCGCCAAGTCTGCACTGGGAAGCTGAACTCCTAAGCCTGGAGGCTCTGAGGACTTCCGGCTCGCCGCTGTGTCTTCACCCCCCACCTCAGTTTCCCTTGCTGTGAGGCTGGGAGGACTCAACAGTTCTTAAAGTTTCATATACAGCAGGGGTTGGCAAACTAGAGCCAACAAGTCAAATCCCGTTTCTGTAAATAAGGATTTAGTGGGACACAGCCACGCTGTCGGCTTCTGTCAGTGGCGGCTCTCCCACTGCAAGGTAGGCCCGAGTAGCTGCAACAGGGACCGTATGGCCCCCAAACGGGAAATATGTACTCCCTGGCCCTTTACAAAAAGTTGGCCGGCCCTGTGTCTGTAGCACTCATGTTCTCCTAGGCTTAACAATGAGCTTTCCTGATTAAAACAATGCATACCAAGCACGGTCCAAGTCACCACCTGGGGATGCCCACTGTCCTCTTCCAAGGACCCTCCCCTGGACCTGGTTAGTGGTGGTAGGTTGGGTAGTTCAGAGTCCCCTCGTGGTGCAACGGCGCCACCTGCTGTGAGTGCCTAAGAGCACTTCTGCTTAGGAGGACGTGGTCCCCGGGCCCCTCCAACCCAGGCAACCTGGTCCCTGGCCATTTTGTAAAGACTACAGCCTAGAGGGGCGGTGTGACTTGTCCTGGGTAGGGGACCAGAAGGCCCAGAGGCCTGCACACCCATCCACGCATGTTCTGCGGACACACATGCGGGCATGCAGGCCTGGCCGTGAACCCTAGGTCGGCCACTCACTCAGGGTCCTGGTCCAATGGTGGTCAAGAGGATTTTCAAAACAAACACACAACATTTAAACTGTTTCCAACCTCCAGACAACTCTCAATTATTCTCCCCATCTCACAGGTGAGAAAAGCGTGGTACAGAGCAGTTAAGTAATTGGTTAAGGTCACACAGCCAGTGACACAGTCAGGATTCGAATCCAGGCTGTGAAAGCGTGAAGGTCCCAGCATACGGTGCTCAGTGCACATCGTTGTTTCCCGCATGCAGGTGTGATCGGGCCACCAGAGGGTCCCGGGCTCCATCAGGAGCCCAAGTGATGGGGGGCCTGAGGCGTGGCCAGTTGCCCACAGGAGGCTCTGGGCAGAGAAGCTGCAAAGGCCAGGCCTGGACTGCCCCTCCCTGCCCCCACCCCTCTGAGCAACACCATGCAGCCAGAAGGCTGTAAACCCTTTATTTCCAAACTATAAATAGGTCTGCTCTCTGAGGAACGGCTGTCCAGGTGAGAAGTCCCCAGCCGCTCCATCTCCCCTTCCCAGCTGCTCTGCAGTCCAAATGAGTCTCCGCAAACGCCCCTGGAATCGCGATCCTGGCAGCCTGCGGAGAAAAAGCCCTCCCTTCCTCTGCAGCGACTCCAGCACAGCTTGGGCCCTGCTCCGGCCAGGCCTGAGGCTGGCCTGGTGCTCCACCCTGTCCGACCAGCTCCCTGACCAGCCCCACCACGTGGCCGTGTGCTATGGAGGCCCAGCCCGGGACACTCCTGGCCGCTCCCAGCTGCTGTGAGGGGCCACCGGGTCCCCGAGCCGCCGCAGTTTGGTGCGAAGGTTGGGCGAGGCCTGCTTCCAAGCTGCACCCTGCAGGCCGCTGCTATCCCTGGGCCACAAAGTACTCTTCCTCCTCCGCCTCCTCGTTGCCATCTTCTTCTGGCTGGCTGCTCCGAAGCAGCAGCTCGAGGTCAGGGTTGGAACCCAGCCCCTTGGAGGGTTTGGGGCCGCCATCCCCTGGGGACAGAGAGACAAGTTACAGACCCAGCGCTAGCTTCTTGGTGTGCCACAAAGTGACTGTGCACTTCGTCACCCAGGCCCCCCACCCCACCCCTTAGAAATGACTCTGGTGTCTTCCCAGTGGAGTGGCTGGTGGCAGCAGGGCCACCAGGCACATTTTGTGAATTACAGAGTATCAGGCAACGCAGAGGCGGCTGAACCGCACAGACCAGAGCTACTCCGGAGAAGCAGAGGGCCTCCTGCCTGTTCCCAGCAGGGCTGGGATGTGAAATCAGAGAGGCTGAGAGGTCACGGGGGACAGCGTCACCAGAACTCAGGCTTCCAAAGGGACTCTGGTTACCTCTGGAGGGCAGGGCCTTGAGGGCCACATGCAGGGATATTCCCGAGAGGCAGAGGGCAAAGCCCAGCCAGTTCAGGAGGCTGATCTGATCACCCAGCAGATGAGCTGCCAACAGCAAAGTGCAGACTTCCTGTGGGGAGAGACGCAGGAAGGGGAAGTGATCAGCAGGATGAGTCGGTCCCCTTGCACGGAGGGCCACGGCTCCGAGCACGCCCACAGAGCGCGCCAGACTTGCCCAAGCTCCCGGGCCAGGGCAGGCTGGCCTGCGGAGCCAAGGGCGTCTCCGCAGGGCTTGGCGGGCCAGGCCGGCAGGCAATGCTTTCTTCCTTTGTTACTGAGGCAACAGAAGCGGTGCTTTTCACAGAATTGCAGGATGAAAACAGACAAACCAAATGCCGCAGTGCTCGTGGGGATAATGGACAGCCACCCTTCCTGAGGCCACCTACACACAGGGCGCCCTTGGCCGCTACAGGAGAATGCTGTGTCATCCTGGGCTCCACGGGACCCTCACTGGTCCCGGAGTTCTTCATGTGCAGTGGCTGCAAATGGCACCGTGGCAGGATGCGTTCTGAGAACCAGTGTGCACCTCATCACTTGGCTGGCAACAGAAGACCCGCAGGGAGCCCTGCGTTTCTGCTTTTGCACAGCGCTCATCCACCTGAGCCAGTGGGCAGGGGTGTGGGAGGGGTTCAGCCCTCTCCAGGGTTCTGGGAGGAAGGAGGGAGATGGGTGGTGGAGGAAATGGGGAGAGGAGAGGGGAGAGTGCTGCCAGGCAGCAGTAAAGGCAGGCTCGGCCTGCACAGGGCACTCATGACGTCACTGTCCCTGTACGTGCCTGGGGAGACACCACCAACCAATCAGAATTGTTACTGATGAGTCTGGACAAGGGTTGGGGTCTTCTCAACCCGTGGCTCCAGCCCACTGCGGAACTGGCGACCGCCGCTGGCGTTCCTGGTGAGGTGCAAATGGGCCTCAAGCCTGGTGGAGCCCAACCTGGTTCTGCTCTGTGTCCCAGCCCGGCCACCCCGCTGTGCGGCTTGGGTAGCAGCCGCTCTTCCTGCCTGATGACCATCCCCACTCCCCGGGCTGCAGCATGGATGAGGGGTATAGATGGGGGCACGGCGCTCAGCGCCCAGAGGTACTTCTGTCCCTTCTCTGTAGGCTGGTGGCGGGGGAGGGGGGGCAGCAGGGGGAGGCAGGGACAGGCGCTGCTGGTGAGGATTGCCTTCAGGGGGCTCCTCTCTAAGACACGACTGGGGTCACCTTCAAGTCTGTACCTTAAAAATGCCTGCAATGGAGAGAGTGAGGCTGGAGGTTCTGGAAACCAGGAGGAACTCGGAGAAACCCAAACCAAAGGCAAGAATCCCGCCAAGGAAGAGGCTCCCAAGCACCCACAGGAGCAGCCCCGTGTCCTGGAAACGGAAGATTTTCTCAGATGTGGACAAATGGAGACCTGAAAGCAACGGGGGAGAGAGGGGCGACCAGGTCCTGGGTGAGCCTGCTGGGTGGCCTCAGCCTCCCCGCAGCCCGCTGTGAGGCCTGCCGCTGTCGCGGGGCCTGCTCCCTGAGCACCCAGGGCCCAGGCCGGGAGAAGCCTGCGCAGACGGCCGAGGCCTGGGGAGACCAGGGAAGCAGGGAAGGCTGCCAGTGCGTCCGGGCCAGTGGGAGCCGGAGACCCTCACAGGGCAAGGTGGGGAAGGCTCCGGGATCCCGGGCTAAGTGCAGGGACAGCGCCGCAGAGAGAACCCATGGGGCACCCTGCTCTTTCACAGGGCACTGCCCTCCCACCCGTGGAAGGGGCGGGAGGGTGGGCACTGCACGCGGCCTTTGCAGCCACAGTAGCTAATGGGCCAAAGAGAGGCGGGGCAGCCCTTCGGGCGAGGACTGCAGACATCCTCCCTGGTCCACTGGGGGGGCCCCTCGTTCTCAGTCTCAGGCAGGCCGTCTAAAACTGCGACAAAACCGTCCTTACCGATCTTGGCCATTTTAATCCAGGCCTCACTACTGCACAGCCGTGGGACTTGGCTGAGACACACGCCCTTTCTGGAGCCCATTTCCCCGCTAATAAAACAAAAGGGTTGGGACTAGACCAGGGTTTCTCAAACAGATGGTGTAATTTGATGAACAGTTCTCAAAAACCAAACACTGCATATAAATATACTACAAAAGCCATGGTCCCTCATTCCAGAGCCACCCACACAGGCATCCAGGCACGGAATTTTGCGTAGGCTTCCGGGGCTTGTCGGTCCTCCAACGCCGTCCCCAAGAGGGCGATTCCCGGGGTCCCTCCCAGAAGGAAGGCCCCTGGGAGCACTAGCAGGGTGGGTACAAGCCCAGAACTAGGCTCAAAGGACACACCTGTGGGAGCAGGAGGCTGGCCTGGGGCTTTGAGATTTGTGGAGAGAAGCAGCAAAGAAATGCAGAGTGACAGCCTCCCCCCTGCAGGCACACAGCCTGGCAACGTAGGACGTCTTGTCTGGGGCCGGGCTCAGCAGTACTGCAGAGGCATGGGCGAATTGAAGGAATTCGGGGAAAGCAACATAAGTAATGAAGGCGCTTGGGGGATTAATTTACAGAAAAGATTAAAGGAGCTAAATCCACGCAGCTTTGCTAAGTGACGACTACTAGGGGCTTTCGGATGAGGGTTTGCAGAGACGGAGAATGGTGTAAACATGCAGGGAGCGGGGAGAGCGTGGCGTTTGGTGCAGGGGGCGCAATGGAGGAATGCGGAGAGATTTGAAAAAGGAAGAGAAACGGGGCTGCAGGACAGAAGAGAAGTCTCCTGGGCAACAGGGCTGCAGGACAATTTTCTCAGGAGGTTCGAGATGCTTCACTGCTTGAAACTTAAATGGACCTAGGACAGAATTTTCTGTAATGACCCCGAAGACAGAAGGGACTCCGGGACAAAGAGTAATCCCAAGACATCAGAGGGAGGAGCATGGCGCTGGACCTCCTCCCTCCTCTGGGAGAAGACAGTGGAGGGGGCTGCTCACCTGCGCAGGCTCCGTGCACCGGACCCTGGCACCTTGCCCCGCCGCCCCCCGAAACCCACACTCCCCCAGCACACACGCCACTGCTCTGAACCTACTGTTCCCCCTTCCTGGGACGCGCCACCCCCATCAGCCTGTCCAAGTCCAGGTCATTCCCCCCAAATACACTGTCCGGGATGTCTTTTTGACTTGGCTTTCCACCCTGCCATCCCGAGACAACTCGGGACCCTGGCTTCTCTGAAGAGGCAGAACACAGCATGGCGGTTACGAGGAGGGACCCTGGAGGCAGCTCCAGGATCCACATTCAGGCTCGTGTATGAGCTGCGGGACTGGGACCAAGGCAAGGTTACCATTACGTCTCTCTGCCTCAGTTTCTTCACCAGCAAGAGGGGATATTAATAGTCCTGCCCCACAGGGATTTGGGGACTATTAAAAGCATTAACGTACAGAAAATGGTAAGAACAGCCCTGGCATACCTTTTGGGCTGGACACATTCACTGTCATCATTGTCCGCTGGATTTTGAACACTTTCTATGTTAACATTCATTGCGTTGGGCCCTGGCTGGTGTGGCTCAGTGGCCTGAGTGCCAGCCTGCAAACTGAACGGTTGCAGGTCACCTGGGCTGTGGGCTAGGTGTCCAGGTCGAGGTGTGCAAGAGGCAACAGGTCAACATACCTCTCGCACATTGACGTCTCTCTCTCTCTTTCTCCCTACCTTCCCCTCTCTCTCAAAATAAGTAAAATCTTAAAAACAAAACATTTGTCATACTGGACCCCAGCCACTTGGCTGAAGTGTCTGCCCAGACCAGGCACTGCTGGGGGGTGGGGTGGGGGGGCCCATCCTTGATCTCTGCATCCTCTCAGCTATCACAGTGCTGGGCTGGGAGCAGGGACAGTGACCTGCCATACCCAGGGACCTCTGGCGCTGGCCCGACCTACCTTCAAATATGGCAAAGAGAGGGAAGAGCCCGAGAAACATGAGCGGCTGCAGGTGGAACATGGTGTCAATGGGGTTCTGGAGCCCTACGGAACGGGGGCACGGGTGAGCCGCCAGGCCCGGCTGGCCTGCCTCTGCCCGGCCCGCCTGGTGCCCAGGCCCCCTCTCACCAAGTTCCGCCTTCTGCAGGAGTATCTGGGTGAGGGTCCAGCGAATGCCGCCGATGAATGAGGCCCCCAGCACCAAGGCAAAGCCCTCCATGTTGAACTGCGTGGACTTGTAGGTGAACATGAAGAGGCCCCCGGCGATGAGGATGACCACCAGGACCAGCGCCGCACGCTGTCAGGACGAAGAGCAGGCAGGTGGCGGCTGACCTGGGGGTCTCGAGGCCATCACACCTGGGTGTGGGGCCCGCAGCCGCCTTCACTGCCTCGCCCCTGCCGCGGCCCACTCCTTCCCGCGGGCGTGTACAGGGCTGAGGTTCAGCTGGCATGTCCCCAACACCCCTGCCTGCCCTCAAATGCTGACATGCTTTGCTACGGCTGTCCTAGACCCCCACGGGGCCTCACTCCTCCCCCGCACCAGGACACAGAGGGCTCCATCTCACACAGCAGGGAGCCTCTGACCCAGCTTGACCGGACCTGGACCCTCTTCCTTGAATCCTCCTGCCTCTGGCCAGCACCCCCTGCCATGCTTTCTAGCCATTTTCAGCAGTGCCCAGGCCCACGTCCTTCCTCAGCAATGGGGGTTCCTGCCGCCTGGCCAGGCTTGTCTCACCTTTCGCGTAGTGACAAGCCATAAGCCACAAGCCACTAGCTACTGCTCAGATCCCCCCTTTGATTCTTAGCATCTGCGGGGGCAGGAGGGATAGAAGGGGGGCTGGGATCTCACCAGCTCCTCCAGCTTGAAGATCAGAGAGAAGATCAAGATGAAGAGGACGGCTGAGGATTTGGTCATTGTGTACCTGGAAGCGAAATCACCACAATGCATGGATGGGGCCCAGGACGCAGACCCATTGAGAGCGGAGCTCACGGCACCATTGGTGGGTTGAAGCGGGGAGGGGGGACGGAGCTCCCTGACTCCCCTGAGGGCGACTGGCTCTGCTCCGGGGAGCAGTGCAATCTGGGTACAAAGACCGACAGACGGTGGCCTGAGTCATCTGGGCTGATACATGACCTTTAATTGAAAGAAACCTCTAGGAAGCCTCTCATTATCACCAGGGAGAAAAGGCTGCAGGTCTGACAAGGAGCTCACGAGGCCTATTATTACCTATCCCTCAGTGGAGACCGGGAGGAGGAAGAAAGGACGAGAGGAGAAGAGTCAAGGCAGCGACTGTGCTCCTGAAGCACAAAGTCGCAGACGAGAAGCCACCGTCGTGCCTCCCCGCGTGCGGCTCTGCACACCGCACACCATCACACCCCCTTCCCGCGCCACGCCTGCCCCGGTTCTGTCTGAGCCCCGGCCCCCCCAGACCAGGCAGGCGCCACGTCCTCTGTGTGCCCAGCTTAAGGGCGGGGCCGCGGAGCTGGGGTGTCAGGGAGCTGCTGCGAGAGGAGGGCTGGCCCCAGAGCGCGGGGGCTGGCTGGTCGGCCAAGCGTGCACACAGCCAGCCGGACAGAGAGGACCGGGGCCTGCGGGGAAGCGGCGGGTGTGGCAGGTACTCACAGTGAGACGGTGATGTAGAGGAAGCTCCAGTTGGACAAGCCCACGTCAAGTGCCGTTGCCAGTGCTGTGGAGACAAGGGGCGCCCATGGGGCACGTGGGGGAGAAGGGCAGGCGCAACGAGGGCACCAGTTATTAGAACATTTCCGCGAGGCACCTGAGTGCCCCCTGCTTTGCCCCACTCACGCTGGCTTTCTGGGGGGGCCCTTGGGCCTTCCTTTCTACCCAGCAACTACAAGGCTAACTCCTGGCCCTGGCCGCTGGGGTCCAGTGGGTTGGAGCTGGAGCGCAGTTATCTGGTAAACCCAAAGGTCAGGTCAAGGGCTCAGGGCACATACCTAGGCTGTTCTTTTGGTCTCCAGTAGGGGCTCATATGAGATGTTTCTTTCTTGCATTGATGTATTGATGTTCCCTTCCCTCCCTCTCCCTCCCTTCCTCTCTCTCTCTAAAATCAGTGAGCATTTCCTCAGGTGAAGATTCAAAAAAAAAAAAAGAAAGAAAGAAAGAAAGAAAGAAAGAAAGAAAGAAAGTAAAATGTGAAAAACTTAACTCCTGGCCAAAACCCAGGGGAACGGGTCTGCTCCAGCATTCAGGCTGGGCCCTCCCTGGCTGGCTGGGGCCTGCGTTCCCACTGCTCACCGCTCACTGTCCTGGATGCCCCCCGACAACAACTGTTAACCTGACCCTGAGCGCTCTGCAGAGTGGTCGCCGAGCAGGATCTGGCCCTCCAGGACCAGACCCCTCCAACCCTCTCATTTTTCCACTACCTCTCCCTAAGGCTGCTTCTCAGCATCCTGAGACACTGTTTCCTTTCAGACCGACATACACACCAACCCTCTCCCGGGCACACGGTGCCCTCCTCTCCCAGGACCGGCTGGTCCCGCTCACCCTCGAGGTCTCAGCCAACTCCTCCCTGCTCTGGGGAACCTGCCCCGCCCAGCCTTCCCCTCGGCTCAGATCCACGACTAGACTACACGCCCTAGCTCCAGGCCTGAGAACACAGCTCAGTGTGCGTGTACAAGGGCAAGGGAACTGGGAGGCTGCTGCTACACTGGGGCTTTTCCCGGGAGAGGAGGGGGAAGTGGGAGGGTGGGGAGCGTGTAAGAGGCAGAAGTGAGAGTGGGCAGGGCAGGAAGAGCAGAGTGAGGAAATATGGGGCAGGGCAGGGAATCCGGGGCCTAAGCCTCAAGCCTCTGGAAGGTGTCCTTTCCTTCTGGGTCTATGGCTTCCCAAGCAACTCTCCCTGGCCGGGTCCCCCCACAGGCACACCTGTCGGAGCCACTCTCTTGAGGTAGTCGGTCCAGCTCAGCACCACGCGGGCCCTGTGGCTGGAGCACTGAACCAGTGCCCGGGACAGGGCGGAGAACAGGAAGATCACAGCCAGGTGCAGCATCGTCATGAAGAGGGGGAAGTGGAAGCTCTGCAGGAGCCCAAGCACAGCGGGCAGCCCAGCTTAGCCAGCTGGCCCTCGCCTACCACCCCCCCCCCGCCCCCCTCCTGTCTTGGCCTGCTGGCCCTGGGGCCAATTTGGTGTTTCCTGGGGGCTTTTGCCTACATTACAATGGCTTGGCAAGCGAGGCTGAGCCTGTTTTGGAGGTCGCCCCAGAAGGGAGGTAGAAGAATAGGGCTCTACGTTAGCTCAGTGCTGTCGCCGCCCTTCACCCACCTGTTAGCTCCCCGCTCCTGCCCCTCTCAGGCCCGCACACAGGCAGCAGCCAGGGTGGGCCGGGATGGCGGTGCCAATTATCAGAGTATTGAATGACTTTTCTACCTGTTGGTCAGCAGCTGCTGCCTGATTCCCCCAAGTCTCCCCAGCTCATCCCTGTGCACCACCCCCAGCCCAATTTGCCCTCGATACAAACATTTTGGGGGACCCTTGGGTGGCAGGGCTGGGGGTTGGACCCTGTCCCACCACCAGTGCGACTGGCCTCCGGTCTGACTGGCTGAAGCCCACACCTTCCTGTTGTTAAATATTAGGGAAACTGTGGCCCAGGCTCCTCCTCCCAGCCCCACTCCCCCCGTTCCACAGGCCTTCCTCCAAGATACCTTGGTCAGCCATTTGTTGTAGAAAGTGATGCCGATGGAGAAGCAGTAGTAGAGAAGGACCAGCCCCAGAGTCAACACCGCCTTCCACACAAAGGCCACGTCGAGGGCCCACCTCCCCATCCGTGGAAGTGGCAACTCCCTAGCCGGGTGGGTGGGGGCCGGCACCTCTCCCGAACACAGGCTGCAGGAAGAGCCGCTCGGTCGGGGCCACGACTTCACCAAGAAGGACTTTCAACAAGAATGTCACCTGATTAGAGTTCTCTTCACCTCCATCATTCAGGGCGGTCAGCAGGGCCTCAGGCAGAGTCCTCACCCAAGGGGCTGGTGGCCCAGGCCACGCCTCGCCATGGTTAACTGTTCGCAGGGCTCGGGGGCCCCCAGGTCGGAGGCTGGAAGGATGAAGAGGCAGCTCTGAGCGGACAGGACGGCAGGGAGGAGCCCGCCCCCAGCACCGGGGCTCGGTGCAGGGCTCCCTGTCACATCCGCTCTCCCGTCACCTCACGCTGCTCTCCATGGATTGCTACCAAAGTGACCTTTTTAAAACGTAAATCTGATCATGTCAGACCACTGCTTAAAGCCCTTCCGTGGCTCCCAGTGCTCTCAAGATAAAGATCAAAACCCTTCCCGTGGCTACAAAGGCCTGACCAGGCGGCCTCTCGGGAGGGGACGAGGGCGCACACTTGTGCTCTAGTCCAAGCAGCCAGGCTCCTCTGCTGCCTCAAGGGACCTAATGCTCAGTCCTCCTCCCTGACTTTCTCAGCTGCTTTACTCCTCTTCAGCTCAGATGTTTGTTGCTTCATCAGGAAACCCCCTGCCCCCGCCCCCGCCCCCCGCAACGGGGTGGGTGCTTCCTCAGCTCCCCTGTGACCCTGTCATCGAACTTGTGCAGGGCATGCTGTGAGTGATGTCGGTGTCCCCTGGGAGACCCACCATGTCCCGTCTAGCCTTACCCCCCCGCCCCCAGCACACTCTAAGTTCTCCGTACAGTGTGCCTCACTGCGAGAGCGGCCTGTGGTTTTCAGGGGACTGATCTGGTCTCTCAGGTGTTATAAATGGGCCAGGAAACCCACACCTGCTTTGCCCGGCCCCTAACTGCCACTCCCACAGATAAGGAGCCTGCCTTAGGTTATTGCCAAACTAAACCACTCCCTGGCCCCCTATCAGCCCAGCCAACCCCAGGGAATGCCCAGAGCATGCCAGGCCCCAGGAGACCCCGTGGACCCCAGTCCAGCACTTTCCCACCTACTGCTTCATCTGTACCCCTCCTGCCCCTGGCTTCCTCCTTTCAGACGGTCCCGCCCTGCTGGAATGCCGCCTCCTTGATGCCTTCCTAGAGCCATCTGATCAGACATACCCTCACTCTCCTCTCCCCAGTCCTTTCCAAAGGGACTATTTACACTTGGACTATACATTGGAACCTGGGTTATCATTTCCCCTCCCCCAAGGCAAACTGGGAGCTCACGCAAAGCTCATGTCTCAGAGGACAGCCCAGGGCTCTGGCTGTCTTCAAGGGAACTTTGGTAACCCCATGGAGGTGTTCTGGGGGGACACCTCTAGCTTTTAGAGAGTGGGGACTATGAGGGGGACAGTCCACATAACTCAGAATTGTTCTGCATCCTGCTTGACTGCGAGAGTCCTGTAGGTGAAAGAGTTTATAATTCCCTGAGCCTAGAACCAGCTCTGTTTCACAGGTAACACAGCACAGTGTTTTCCATAGTTCTCCCAGGCACTAACATTTCCAAGAACACATTTACCAGGTGCACTGAGGGGGAGACCGAACTGTTTTCAATAAAAGGGTGCCAGGAGCTCCCTGTTTGGAGAAACCCCCGTTCCAGGGGGTCCAGCGGCCTCCTGCTCAGCTGGGACTGAGAAGTTCTGCAGTATTGCAGCTGCTTCATTGTAGCTTCTAGCATCCTGTGCCCAGGAACTTACATATTGAAACATTTTATTAACGATTACTTTTATTTCTCTTACATTACGGTCAGGGCACAGCCAACTTTGATAAAATTATGTGTAGGGAGTGTTTTGAACCCCAAGTTTCATCTTAAGATAGTAAGAGAGGGATGGGAAACGCTGTTAATAAAACATTTGTCATTAAAAAGGGCGCTGCCTCCACGATGTTAAGAACCACTGTGCTCCTTTGCCCGGGTGGGCCCACCCCCTGAAGTGCCTCCTGTAAGCTGACCTCCCCGTCCATGCAGGCGGGGCAGCTGCCCGCCTGTCTCCTCGCTTGGGTGTCTAGCATTAGGCATCTCTCACGCAGCCTGTCCCGGACGGACTCCTGTTTTCCGGGACTCGCCTACCCTCTGTCCAAACCCGCTCCACTTCCCACCTCGGCCAGGGGGACCTCCATTCACCCATTTGCTTAGGCCAGTAACGTGGTTCTCATCCTTGATTCCTCTGTTACCCTCAGCCCACATCCAATCAACAAATACCGTCAGCTCTGCCTCCCCAAAGCATCCCAAATACCACCCCATCTCCTGTCCTGCACCACTACCATCCGAGCCACCATGCCTTCTCTCCCCAAATGACACCTCAGGCTTCTATGTGGTTCCCTCTGCTTCTCTCTGCTCCTCCAGTCAGTGTCCTCAAGAGCAGCGTCTAACAGGCCTCAAGGCCCACATTGTCCTCCAGACCCAGCCTCCTCCACCTTGGGTGACTGCGGCTGGAGCCAGGGACTGCTTTGTGGGGACAAGGCCTGTCCTGTGCACTGTGGGACATTCAGCAGCATCTCTGGTCTCTACCCTGCTAGTGCCTGGGGCACCCCTGCCCCTCATCCCAGTGACAAGCAAGAATGTCTCCAGGCGTTGCCAAATGTCACCTGGAGGCAAAACAGCTCCCTGTTGAGGACTGCTAACACTACCAGGGTGACCACGGGGCATGCTGGCACTAAGAGACCTTCCTTCAAGCACTCTCTCCTGTGGTTCCCACCCACGGCTTCCCAGCCAGGGCGGTCTGTACCCTTCTGTGAACCAGCGTTTCATACCTTCTGCTCTTGCTGCTGCTATTCCTGCCCCAACACAGCAATGCCCTCTGCCTTCCCCTCACTGTTCAAAGCCTGCCCTTCCTTCGAAGAGCCAGGCCGGGCCCCCTACCTCGAGGAAGTCCCCACGTCTGACCCAGCCCCCAGGGACCATCGTCTCAAGGTTAGCGCTTCTTCTCTTACTGTTTGGAAGGTCACCCAACCCCAATACAAAATCAGACCTCTGCTGATAGAGCTCTTGGAAACCATCTCACCACTTACTCAGAGTGCTTTTATTAAGCAGGTCTATCCTGTATATCTAGCGCTGGAGATACAGACCCTAGCTGATAAGGTCTCCACCCTTATTTCATGATAAGGGAAACTAGGCTTAAAGGAGCAAGTGCTCTTTTTCAAATCTCACTTGCCCAAGAATGGAATTCAGCGCTCTGCCTCATTTTCCTCAGGAGGCAGCACAGCTTGGAGCAGCAGCCATCCACTGGTGCGTCCCCACGGCACCGGCTCCCCTAAGTCACCCCAAGTGTAACACGGGCCAGGCAGCTTAGTGCTCAGAAGGGTGGGCCCGGGGCAGGAAAAGCCTGGGATCAAGTCATGGCTTCCCTCCTTCTTCAGGACTCTTAAGTTCTCTGACTGTGGACCTCAGTCTCCTCAACTGCAAAGGAGGATAAAGTCAGGAGCCTCCCGGGAGGGCAGTCAGTGGCATCAGGTAAAGCCTGTGCTGCTGGCTCACAGTAGAGGGTCGCTCCCCTCCTGGTCCCCTTCCAGTGGAACTTCCCCAGCCCATCCCCACTGAGTCACCAGGCCCTCCTTCTGGTTGCTCCTTCTGGGGCCAAGTCGCTGGTCTCATCAGCATCTTAAAACAACGATCCCTTCCTCTTCCTGGGAAAACCTCTTGGATGCCTCTCTTCTGCTTTTCTGGACCCCTTCTCGGTCAACCCAGCTGGCGCCTGTGGGTTGGACCCTGGCCTCTCTTATCTGCCTTAATTCTCAGCCTGCGTAATCTCCTCCCAGGTGACTGACATGCCAATGATTGCTAAATTCCTTACATAAGCCCAAACCTTTCCTACGAGCTCCAGGCTAGTATATCTAACTTGAACCTGAAACTTTACGGTGCCCCAAGCTGATTCCTTGACTCATGCCCCCAACATCATTAGTAAATGCCAGCACAATACATCTGGGTACTTCAGCCTACACCCCCTAATCAATGACGCTTCCCCTCTTCCCTCAAATCCTGTCCTGCCAGGTCCATCCCAATGTCCTCCTCCTCACCCATCGACGCTCTTCGCCTCTTCTCCACCACCACAGTCTTAGCCACAATTACCTTTCACGTACTGACTTGAACAGTTTCCTAACCAGTATCCCTGCACCGCCCTCCCCCGCCCCCGCCCATGGCTTAAGCACAGAAAGCAGACCATCAGCCATTTCAGGCGAACTCCAGTTCCTCAGAAGGCCCACCGGAACCCACCACCACCTGGCCCCCGCAGGCGTCTGTGACCTCTGCTTCCACTGCTCCCACCACTCCCCCGGCCCCCGGCCCCCAGCTCCCAGCACCCAGCGCGCGGGGCCTGGTGGCTGGTCAAACCCAACAAGCCGGGGCCCTTCGCACCTACTGTTCCCTCTCTGGAACACTGTTCCACACACCCTTGCGTGGCTGAACTCTCCTCGTGGGCCCCCTCCTCATCTTCGTAGCACCTCCCATCACCTGACGTTTCTTTGTTTACCCTCGAGGTTACCGCCGGCCCCCCATTCCCGTGCCACCGCGGGATGCAGCCTCTCCGCGGGCAGAGCCGTGCAGACGTGATTCCCGTCTGCATCCAGGCCCGGCTGGTCGCGGAGGCTCAGGGAATGCCCGGGGCAGCGCGCGCGGAAGCCGGCCGAGGGCGGGCTCGTGGAGACCCGGGCCCCCTCCACGGCGGGGCGGGAGCCCAGGCGCGCCCCATGCCGCGGCGCGCGGAGCCCGGCCGGGCCGCGGCTCCCCGGGTCCAGCCGCAATCCCACTCACCTCGGCCGCGGGTGCTCCTGCCGAGATCCTCCCGCCGAGATCCTCCCGCCGGAAGTGCGAGGCCCAGCGCTGCGTGGTCGGGAAGAGCATTTCCGCCAAAAGCCGCTGGGGGCGGGGCCGGCTGCTCGCCGGGGCGGGGCAGGGGGGCGGAGGTGCGTTCTCACCCTACAGTCCGCGGAGACCGCGCGTCGCGTACCCGCCCCGGGGAGCGTCCATCGAGCTCGTCACCCGCACTCCCTCGTGCTGCCGGTGTCCGTTTCTCCTGCGCTCGATCGGGCCTCGTTCCGAAGCCCGGTGCCTGCTGCCGAGCCCTGCGCACCACGGGGACCCAGAAAACAGTCACCTATTTACTTCTCTTGAACAAATTGTTTTACCTTATTCCAACCCAGTGCTGGGCAACCGTGGAAAGGACCGCAGAGAGAAATCTGTCATGGGCTTTTTCTTCTGGTTGCTCAAGCCAGCTGGGGAGTGCTAAGTCAGAGCATTACGTTTCAGGATTTGAAAGATCCATGGGAGGTAGTAACTAGTAAGTAAACATTTGTGAACAATTTTCTATGTGCCTGAAACTTTTTAAGAATGATCTCAATAGGTCGGGTAAGGGGAGAGCGTCTGTCTCTGAGTAAATAGGAGGGGAGAAGGAGAACAAAAACTATGGTTGGGAAAGTGGCCAAGGGGCAGGATGCAGGGGTCCCCAAAATGCCAGCTAGGGCATCTTACTCATCTTGCAGGATGGATTAAAAGGCAGACAGCCTGCAGACAGGGAGACCCATTAGGGCGTGAGGGCAGGCCAGGGGTGCGGACAGAGGCCCCCTTTGGGGCTTTTCGTCCCCCTCCCACCTCAAGCCCCTCCTGGGCTCTCTAAGACTGGCTACAAACATGGACCCTTGCAAGTGACTTAACTGGGCTCCCAGCCCCTCTGAACAGAAGGCTCAAGGCCAGAGTGTAAAAGCTGTTTATTATGCAAACTGCTGTTGCCCTCACCACCAGCAGCTGGCATTTCACAAGCATTAGTTCATTATGTGCTTACCAGTCACTTACAGTTGCACCCATTGCTGCCCAAGGTCTCAGCTTTATTCAGTCCTCAAGGCCTGTACCGCGTGCACTTTCTATGCCTTTTGAAAGAGCTTGTCCTTGCCCCCTTCTCTCTCTGAGGCAAGAGAAAGTATCTATTTTCATCATGGCCCTCATTCAAGCCTCCCAGCTACCAAGGCTGAGGTTTGAAGCAACAGCCTAGCACACCAGCTGGAAGGCTGGGCACTAAGCTCGGCAACACAAAGGGTGAAGAGCGTGTCTTCTTTGTAAGGTACAAGGACTCGAGCTGTTCCCTGGCTGTGTCCCTGGCAGGAAGAAGCAGGAGGGCGTGTTCACAGGGGTGTGCAGTATGCCTTTCCCTGATGTACCCAGCAGGCCTGAGCAGAAAGCTCTTGGTCCTGGTATGACAGCTGTGAGCAGGTGCACATGTGTGTGTGTGTGTGCAGGGTGGAGGCAGGGTGGCTGAGGGGGAGAAAGCGGCCCTTGGAAGGAGGCTGAGGACTCCAGCTGGAGCTCTCCAAAGTCTCCCAGGCACAATGAAATGAAGGCTTGTCAAGGTGAAAGTTCCGTTTGGCAGAAAGCCAGTAACAGAGAAAGAGCCTGTTAGTAGGAACCACAATTTGTACATGAAAGAGTATTTATTGAAAACACGGTTACTAACAGGAAGCTCCTGGCTGCTCTCAGGTTACAGTCTTGGCTCACAACTGGAAGTGTTACTTTTTGTTTTGTTTTGTTTTTGTTTTTGCCTCCAATTTTATTTCCCCTCACACAGTCCATCCTAGGATAGGTAGAGCTTATATATAAATATATATACATGTCTGTATAAGTATGGCCTATAGTAAAGAAAATATATAGTACACTCTTCATTGGGTAGTACCTACCATGCCAGGCTACCACTACTGAATGCCATGTTCACATATGTCCAAGCAGAGGCTGTGCGTGTGGTTTACGAGTGCAGCAGCACCAAGGATGCCCCGTTGGCACAGCTGTGGCCTCAGCCAGCGCCCTGAAATCACGGCCCGAGGGAGGAACCACAGCGCTGGGTGGGGAGGAAGGGAAGGCAAGTTTCCTGAGGTCTGGAAGGCCAAAGGAAAGCCAACTGGAGGGGGATGCTCTTCCGGTTCAGTGGGTGATCTCTCCCAGAGGAAGGGAAAGGTGTAAGTGTGGGGGCAGGACAGTGGGATCTAGCGACCTCGCCAGTCTAGGCCCAGCCTCACCCAGGCTCTCTGGGCAGAGTTCCTTGAGGCCAAGAGGGAGGGACTCAGCCTCCCTGACTCTGGCTTGCCAGGATGAGAGACTGAGGGCTTGTAGGTAGAAATTTCCATCTGCTCAGACAACTGCGTGGGCGAGAGATCTGGTGGCTCCGGAGACCAGAGCCTCAGAGCCGACCTAGGCGGCGGCGGCGGCGGCGGCAGCGGCAGGTGGGCCCTGTGTGAGGCCGGAGTAAGCCCTCACAAAGACGACACAGGCAAGGGCAAGGCCTCGGCTCAGATCTAAGACACAGGCACGGGTCGGCCAAAGGCAGTCTCTCCAAGGCTCTCAGCACGCCCAGCTCGTCGGTCCTCTGCAGCAGCCTTCCTGGGCCAGCCCCTGCCCACACGGGGAGCCGGCTGACCGCCAGGGAGCAGGCTCCGGAAGAAAAGGTAAGTGGCTTTTGTTAAATCCAGCTCAAGGAGCAGTTTCTCGGCCCGGAAGGCAAGGGCATCTGCTGCTCGCTCCTCGTGGCCTGAACCCAGGCTCCACAGTGACGGGGAGGCCAGAGCACCTGCCCTTATGACTCACAGGAGATGGGGACCAAGAGGAAGCTCTGGGTGGTCTGAGGTGGGTTGGAGCAATGGTTGGCATTTCCTGGCCACCATGGTCACTACAGATTCTGTACAAGCAAAAGACAAGGCACCAGACTGTGAGTGTTTCCTCTGGGCCCCAATCCCTTCCTGGGTGCCGTCACCTGCGGCGTCAGGCTCAGCTGTAGTGATAGACGAAGTCGTAGCTGCTGGGCTCCTTGGGCACCGGCGGGGGAGCTTCAGGGATCTGGATGTTCTCCAGGTCCAGGAGCCGCAGCTTCATCTCCATGCTCAGCAGGGTGTCCAGGTCACTCTTAGTCAGCTCGCTGGACATGTCCTTCCCCAGAAGGGCACTGAGGCCGTCGATCCAGATGCAGTACTGGGGAGAGCAAGTTGCAAAACATCACACGGTGGCCCCCAGTCAGCAGGAGGACCTGCCAAGGTCCCTTTTCTAGGATTCGCGCCTGGGTCTCTTGGCACTACTCAGTAGAAGCAATTCTGATCTGGGATAATAGCAAAGAGAAGTTGGGAGCTGACCATTCACCTTCTCAAAAGGCCTCTTGGTTTTTATGACAGATTGACATTTAAATTCCCAAAGATATTATAAAGTATGATTTTTTAAAATGCAATTAAAGAATACAGCAAAAGAAGACCTGAGCACCCGGGCAGCAAGTTCCTGAAACTGCCCCTGAAATTAGTAATAGGGGAAGGGAGAATACATACTAGGTGGCAAAGGTGGGACACAAAAGGAACCACTGTGGGACCTCAAACAAAGTAAACTGAAAAAAACACCCAGTCAATAAATGTTAAAGTTAAGCGCTAGAGAAACGAAACGTGAAGGTCTCATGGTAACAGGGAATAACAGGGACTTCTCAGCCCACCCCTCCCTAACTGCTCTGGTTCCATCTTTCTCCGTGCCTTTCCTTGCCTGTCCCCCCACCTGCTAGTGCTTCGCGCCCCCCTCCCCCCCAATAAAACTTCGGCCCTGCCGAAGTGTCTCTTCCTCCAGAAGCCCCGCCCCTTGTTTCCTCTGATGGCTCTCAGAGCTCCCCAGACACGTAAGGTCCCGACCGCAACGACTCATGTCACACCTAGTATCTTCAGTGCTGCGGTGAAACTGTGGGCCCGTGTCAGCAGGACCAGTGCCATTTGGTTTCAAAGCCCAGGCCAGATCTCCTACATATGGCCAGGAGCCCTGAGGAGGGGGCATCTGTCAGGTTCACTTGGGCAAGTGCCACACAGAAACAGAGGAGAGGAAAATTCTCCTACTGCCAGGCAAAGAAGTTACTCCCAGCTGGCCCGTCTTTCTAATGATACCCTACAGTTGCTGCTGAAGAGTAGCCTAAAGGGCCTGGCCCTAGGGAAAAGGACCTCCCGCTGGCAGATTCTCAGTGTCACACAGCCTTTGTGACAGGCTACAGCCTCCTGCCTGCAGGGGACCGGATGCTCCTGTTCTGCCCACTCCTCCCCTGCAGCGGGGCAATCAGAGGGCTGGGCTGTGCAAGGCAGGGCCACACCGCTCACCTCGTACTTATTGGGCGCGATGAAGTTTAAGGTCTCGTCGGGGTCATACAGGATGGAGAAAGCCAACTCCAGCACCTCCTGAAGGAGAAAGATTTCAGTTGGTTGGAGCAATGGGCCGGCCTGGGCTTTGCACACCAGGATCTTGGCCAAAGTCCGAGTACCTTGGCACCGTCACCAAGTGTGCTGATTCAGATGCGACGCCATCACGGCCCCAGGGCACATGCACAAGAGTGGCCGGAGAGGAGGCCCAGCGGTGGCTGAGCGACCTCACCTCACTCTCCCCACCCAAGTCACGCCTAAGATGTGGTGATACTTTGAAGACTGGAGAGAAGTCATTACTCAGTAAGTACTCAGAGGCTTCTGAATGTCAGAGTAATACTGACAGTGTATTTCCTTAGATATCTGTCTTGGTAACTAAACGGAAAGGTCTTAACGGTTTAAAACCACAACAATGAAGACAAATTGTGGCCAAAGATGGGTAAATTTGAGCACTGACAACAGGGCTGAAACTGATATAATCTGCTTACTAAATCCTGAGCCCAGAGTAATACTAAAAAACAAAACACAGACACAGAACTGGTCACTGTTGGATGATATCAGGGAACTCTTTGTTTTAAAAGTAGGCACCTAATGGTAAAGAATCAAGCATTTAATCTCCTCTCTTACACAAACTGTAACACCGGGACACTAACAGCAGATGACGGCAAGTTTCTCTTTCGAGAAGTAATTCAGCTAATAAATGAAAAGGACAGACTGCTTTAGAATATCACTAGTTAGCGAGCCTGAATTTACTCACAGATGAGGCACTGAGCAGCCAGTGTACTGACATCACAAAAAGAGACGGCCACACTTACGTGTCTCTTGATAGAACGTAATACCATCTAGGAAGGAGTCTTATCAAAAAAAAAAAAAAAAAAAAAAAAAAAGTCAAACCTGAAGTAGATCAAGCCTCTAGATCTCTCTACCAATTACAGATCTGGGACAGAGGAACGAGTTAAACTGCACCGTGGGGAGACAATCAGCAAGTTTCAGACTCTGGGAAACTACCAAACAAGCAACCTGGTTTCTCCAACTAATAAACTGCAAAGAGGAAAAAAAGACGAAAAAGATGGATGGGGAACTTATGAACTAAGAAACTTCAAAGACTAAACACAAAATGTAGCCCTTATTTAGATTTTGACTTTGCAAACAAAATGGGAATGAGTGTATGTGTATTTGTGTGTATATACATATAAACATTTACAGAATTTATAGAGAAATTATGTTATTTATACGATAACTAGAAATTCAAACATCCATGGAATATTTGACATTAAATAACTTTTTAGTTCTTTTTAGGGGTGATAATAGTATTGTGACTATGTTAAAGGAGTCCTTATAATCTAGAGATACATGCCAAATATTTACAGATGAAATGATGTAATACCGGAGGTTTTCAAAGTGATAAGGGAGAGAGAGGTACGTGCAGACTTTGCTGTGGCTGCTGAGGCTGGGTGACGAGTATAGGGGAGTTCCATCCACTGTTGTGTACGTGCAACACTGTTCTTAACAAAACACTCCGGCATAAGTTAGAGACAAAACGAGGGCACGAGCCCGTGCACCTAAACCCCGACCCACTGACTGCATCTGGGGGTCGCTGTGGCAGCGACTCAGACTCAGGCCTGCCTCTCCACTCACCTTGTTCTGTTTCAGAGCACTTTTCTCCTTCATGTGGGGACAATCTTTCCCAGTGACAATGGCCTTAATGTCTGCAACAGGAACTGTTAAATGAAGGGAATTAGTCTCTGGAAACTTCATGCTACAAGCTGGTTCTTGCTTCGGGTCTAGAAGGGAAGCCCCCACTCCGACACTCAAAGGGCTGTTATCAGCTCAGGGAGTGTGGCCTTCTATTGTTCCCTCCTCCGTGGTCACTCCCCACGGACCATGGCCTGCTGGGCTGTGTCAAATCTGATAGGAGGTCAGTTCAGGGCATTTGGATTGTCTCCCCAAGGCATGGAGCCGCCAACACCCACCTCACTTACACATCACAATAATGATGATGGCAATGCCACCAAAGCCAACAGCAGTGGCAACAGCTAACAGTTTTCCTTGTTACCTGCTTGCTACACACACTACTCATTCATTCCTGTTGTGAGGGACATGTGGCTATTATTTTGACAGAAGAAACCAAGGCAGAAGGGAGAACTTGCAACTGATTAGAATTAGAATTGGGAGCCAAGCCAGCACGTGAATCCAGGCAGCGTGCTCTTAACCACCACCTTTCAACTTCGTTTTGTATCACCCGTTACAATCTGCAACACCCACTCCCCTCTGGATCTCACTGAAGCCTCCAGATAGCCCTGTGAGGTAGGCCGAAGGGAGCGACCTCCGACAGTGAGCCAACGCATCCAGAGAGAGAACTGGCCCCAGACCAGATCATCAGTGGGAAACACCCAGGACCAGAACTCTCCTGACATCAAGGCCAGCTACCAGGACACAGCAACAGAGAAATGAACCTACTTTTCTCCTGCAGGGATTCAAATGTCACCTCCCCTTGAGGGTTGTCATCCAGATCGCCATAGTGCAGGACCTTGTGGTTCAGTGCCAAGCGGCAGTACCAGAAACGTTCTGGAACACAAGGGAAGCAAAGCAGGTGAGCGAGGACAGCGCCGGGGAAGGCCTGAGCACACGAGGGCAGCGGGCACTGTGCTCCCTGCCTGCTCCCTGCGGGGTCCACCCAGGCAGGCTCCTTCCCCAGGGCCCCGGCCCCCCTTACCTTGCCTCCGGCGGTTCCCAATCTTCCGGAAGCTGCTGCCCTCACAGAGCCGGTTCAGGCGCTGCTGCTTGATCAGCTCCAGGATCTCGGGCTGGATCTTCTCCCTCAGCTCCCTGGGGTGGGAGGAGGAAGGGAGGGAGGGAGACATCCAGCAGGGTGAGGAGAAGGTCCCAGCGAAGCTTTGGAAGGAAGGCCGAGCTGGGGCTGCCCCCTGCCCGCCCCTCTGGCCCCACCCCCCGCCCCCCGCCGCACTCCAGGGACGGCGCTCACACAATGGGCGGGGACTGGAAGTCGTCCTGACTCATCCTCTCTGACTGGCGCAGTCGCAGAATCTCCGAGTAGCTCAGGCTGCGCAGTTTGCTCTTGAACTGATCCAGGGAGTTGGGTTTGGAGGGCAGAGCACGAGTGATCTGCTCTCGGACAACCTGCATGACCTACGGCGACAGGAAGAAGGCGGCCCCTTCGCTCCAAGTTTTCTACAACAAGATGAGCAGGATCGAAATACTCCAGTCCTAGGTTACCAGCTACCGAGGGCCTCGTGTGCTCCGCAGAGACGGGGCGCTCAGAAAGCGCCGGGGAAGGGCTCCCGAGCACACGTCAGACTCATCTGCTCCGGCTCCTCCCCGACATTTCCAGGTTGCAAAAGGGCAGCCGACAGCACCTGCCCATGGTCAGTGCTCAGCAACCACAGCTCTTAGTATTGTGCTCGCCCTCCTGTCCACTAAGGAAGACAGGAGGGGCAAGACACCTGCTCAAGGTGACAGAGGAAGCACACCGGAGGGGACCGAGGCTCTCCACTGCATCGGGCCTGTGAGTCGGCGCTGCGGACCAAGCTGGTTTTCCAGCTCAGGGATTTCCCTGGCTCTGGCCAGCTGCCGCTGGCCGTCATGTGATGGTCTCAGCCCACAGACCTCAGAGCTCTGCTTCACTGACCTTGTTGAAGTCCTCAGCTGTTGCCCTCATCTCCTTCCAGGTCTTGTTCAATAGCTGGATGCAGATTCCAAAGAGCTCTTCAAAAGCTCGGTCGTGGGTAAAGAACATCGGGTGGTAGTCGTTGCGTCCTTCGTTTGCTGCAGAAGAAAAGGGGGAGGGAAAGGCTGAGCTGGGGGCTCACGCCCAGAATCTTTGGACCCTCCGCACCCAAGTCCTGAGGAACAGAACCAGAGCGGGGACCGGGGCTGACGAGGAGTGTGGGATGGGCCGTTCCCCACCCCGAGCCTCCTTCTCCAGGGCATCTCTCTTGGCCCACCTCTGCTCTGTGACAGTCAGCTAGTCCTTACACAGGGGAGTGAGCAGACAGGGGTGTAGCTCTCGAACACGTTTAAATTAGGAGCTTGAGCACAGCGTTAGTCAAGAGTCTCATTAGCAAGGATAGAACGGATTACAGCTCAGGAGGTGGCTGAGGTTGCCCAGCCCGACTGACACCTAACCTTACAGCCCCCGCCTCCCCAGGTCCTGATGACAAGGGCTGGCCAAAGGAGGCGAGGCCCCGGCGCAGACTTACGTAGCTCCCCAACCTGGAGGATCTCACAGAGCATTTTGGTAAGCTCGATGGCACTGCGGCCAAAGGGGCATTCGTGTTTGTCTTCGCGACTGCTGTTCTCCAGGACAATCTGTGGGCACAGAGGGAAGGCTAGTGAGGGGGGAGAGGGGAGGGCGGTGAGGGAGGGAGGGGGCCCCGAGGTGCGGCGCCAGGACTGAGGAAGCAGGCCTCCAGCCTTTACCCGGATGTAGGTGTCCTGGTGGACCTTGGCCAAGTACAGCATGTTGTCCAAGGCCAGCATTCCCGGAGGAGTCTGCGTAAAGTCCATCGCTGGGTTGATGTGGTTCTGGGGGAACAGAGAGACCCAGTTCCGTGGGGCGTCACCAAGGGCAGCCCTGCTGCCCCTCCTCCGAGTGCCGCTGCCGTAGCTTGTTCACACGCCCCTCCCTACTGTGTGACTCGGAGCCCTGGCCACCGGGCTGTGGCTGACGCACCCGTGTGCCCAGCACACAGCATCCCGCTGCGCCCTGAGGTGCGTACAAGCATTTCACTGAATTAACTTCAAGCTGTATCCTATTACAAAATAGCCACGCCAGCTTGTCAAAGAACCTCGCTGCTGTGATGAGAGGTGCCCTAGGTCCCTTCTCCACCCGCCTGGCACCCGCTCCCGGGCCTGCCCACAGATGGCTCTGTTTCACAGGCCCAAGGCTGACATAAACTTGGGAATCTGCCATCACAGAGGCAAACCAAGCAGCAAGGCCCTCCAGCTTCTTAGCGTCATCTATTCCAGGCCACCGATGTGGAGGCCGCGTGCCCTGGGCTCTGGCCGCGTGGGCCCTCTGACTTCCTGCCAGGGGAGAAGGCTTGCTGAGGCCCATGCTCCGGGAAACTTACAGTAAATCCCAGCATTTTATAGTCCTTGGTATACATGGCTTTGCGCTTCTCAGTCCCACTCCCAGGGACATTGCTGGGGTCAGATTCTGCGTCAAATGCAATCCTCCTCAGTTCGAATATTATGTCTCTCTGGGCCTGAGAGGAGAAGCAGAGAGTCAGCAGGCAAGCCAGCTACCCAAGGAGGGCAGGGAAAGCAGGCGCGGGCTGGGCCCGGGCAGGGCTCTGCCCCGGTGGACCTTTGAAGAGAGGGCATCCCCTCTGCCTTAGCAGGACAGAGGTGGGCTTGGCCCCAGGGTGCACCCACAGGGAGCGATCTCGGTGAGGCCCACGGCTAGGCTTCTCAGAGCAGACGCAGCGGTTTCCGCACGCAGCAGGCAGGCGCTCCGTACACAGCCTGGGGGTGGACTGCACCGCAGCAAGCAGCACACAGTTGAAGCCAGGACAGCTCTGCCCACCTGGCCCCTACCTGGTCATTGGGGTCCATCTTGGTCATCATCCTTTCTTCCAGAAGGTTAAAGGTCAGGACTTGCAAGACATACAGCTGATGGGCCATCTCGGTTTTGATTGGGCGGTTCCCTCGGATCACGTGCTGGAAAAAGCAAAGGCAGGGAACAGGGGTCTGAACCGATTTTCTCTCACTGAGGAGTCACGTCCGCGCTGGTGAAAAAGAAAGTACGCTGGGCAGGAAACAGGGCTTTCCTCCCCCACACAGGACTCCATGTTCTGGAAGGGGATGGAGCAGGAATGGGCTTGATTCGGCAGAGGTGAGTCACTACAGGCCCAACGGGCACCTTCCTTCTCCCTGCAGTCCCCTGGGCAGCAGAGGTGGGCTGAAGGGTGGAGGCTGCACCCGCCACCCCAAAGAGGAGGGAGGCTACCCCGTTAAGATTATGAAACGGGAAATCAGCGGCTGGACCTTATTCCAATGGGCATGGTAGTGATGCTGACAATTGGCGATCACTAATCTCAATTCGGACTAGCCACATTCCAAGTGTTCAACAGCGACACGTGGCTAGCGGCGACCAAGCTGGGACTGCACAGGGCTACAGAGATTGATTACGCAATCCAAGACAACAGCCAGTGGGACAGAGACCTGCCTGCCGAATTGGGCAGTATTGTTCTTCTGTTTTCCCTTAGACAAATAGAATGTTTTAAATGGCCTCACCAAGCAGAGAGGTTTTAGAACAGGTCGTTTTCTTTCAATGATACAGACACCTACCCAAAGGGGGGGCCTCTAACACTCCTTGCCCAACCCCCCTCACGGCCCCTCCCTCCTTTCTCTCCTATACCTGTCCCTTCCCCTCAGAGCAGTGTACGCCCCCCTCCCTGCGGCCCCTGCCCCGTGCTCCCACTATGTCCCTCTCCCCCCTCTAACTCCGTCCGGCCCACTCTCCTTCCACCTCCCCTCTCAGGTCGCCGCCCCGGTCCCTCTGCTGCCCACCCTCCCCTGCCCTCACGCCCAGCCCCGCCTCTTCCTTGCGCACTCCATCGCCCACCATCCCTCGGGCCATCCCTCGGGCCGATCAAGCTCGGTTCCGTTCTTGTCTCACGCTGCCCCATTCTCACTCCCACAAGGGCCTGCTCTTTCCTGCTTGCTCCCCTGCACTCCCTGCTCCCCGCTTTGTTTCCCTGCCATCTTGAATCCTGTTACTCTTGGTCTTTTCTTGTCCAAATGAGACTCTTGCCCCGTCTCCCACACGAACCACCCCTGCGTCCTTCGTGTTCTCTTACTCAGTCTGGCTGAGTCTCTAGGCCTGTGCTGTCCCATATGCTCACCACGGACCACATGCAGCCCTTTGCATTTAAGTCACTTGCAATTAAGTTAAAAATCCAGGTCCTCGGGAGCACTAGCCACATTTTAAACTCACCAGGCACATATGGCCAGTGGCTGCTGCCTGGTGATAGATATGGAATATTTTCATTATCACAGAAAGTTCTAGCAGACAGCTCCGCTCTAGAACTTCTAACTCTAAGCCAGTATCTTTTTCGAGCTCCCTCTAACTTCAGATTGGCTCTCTCCGTGCGCGCTCTGGCTCCCGGTCGCGCTCGTTAGGCCTGTGCAGTCCAGTCTGGTGGCCACGAGCCACGTGTGGCTGTTGAGCATTTGAAATGTGGCCAAAATGAGGTGTGCTCTAAGTGAAAAATGCACGCCAGACCTCAGAGCCTTCGTGTGAAAAAACAAAAGGTACAGAATCTCATTAATGATTTTTTTCTTCTATTGATTACATGTTGAAATCAGCATTTTGGTTATATTGGGTTAAATGAAATGTTATTTTTTTTCTTTTATTGATTCCAGAGGGGGGCGGGGAGGGAGAGAGAGAGAGAAACATCAATGTGAGAGATATTGACTAGCTGCCTCTTGCATGCACCCTGAATGGGGACGGAACCCACACCTGGGCACGCGCCCTAACTGGGACTCGAACCTGCGGCCTTGCAGTTTGCGGGACGATGCCCAAATTGAGCTATGCTAGCCAGGGCTCCTCCATTTGTTTTTCAATGTTGCTGCTAGAACATTAAAAATAAAATAAGTCATTCCCATTATATGTCTGCAGGATGGCGCAGCTCTAGACCTTGTCTCCCCACCATGTGATGCCACAGCGCTTTCTCCTTCTGTCTCTTTCTTTCTCTAGCTCTATACAGACCAAAGAGTAGCTGCCAGCCACATGTGGGCATTTAAATTGCAACTAAAACTTTTTTAAAACGACAAATTAAGATGCATTTCGAGTGCTCACCAGCCACGCGGGGCTAGTGGCTGCCATCCTGGGCAGCGCCCCCAGAGCCACAGACACTTCTACCGGACAAAGCCGCTCTGCTCTTTCGCTAGAGGGTGTGCTGAGGCCCTCCCCCTCCCCCTCCCCATCCCTGTCCCGCGCAATCCCTCTTGGCCTCTCCAGCAAGCCATCTGTCCTCTTAGCTCAGACTCAGCATCTAGTCTCTGGCTCCCCGAACCTGTTTTCCACTCTCTGCTCCGCGCGTCCCGCCCCGCCCCACCGCTTCCTTTCCCTGCTCCAGGCTCCTTCCTCTGCCACGGCTCTGCTGTCCTCCCCACATCTCCTCTTTGCCTCACTCCGAGCCTCTTCCTTCCCCTGTGTGCCCTCCTGCTGCTACTCCATCCAGTGTCTCCCTACCTGCCTATCTCCATTCCTTCCTCCTCGCCTTTCCAGATTTCATAAAGCCACTTTAAAGAGAGGTTCAGGTTCACGTGATGTTGATGTTCATCAGACACACCACAGTGGGAAGGTGACTGCTGTAGCCGTCAATGGCTTGAAGTATGGCTGCAGTTGGGTCGGTTATTGTCTCAGAGGCTTTACCTGGCGTCTTATTTGACTGTCAGATACCTCGAGGCCTGTGCTCTTTGGCTGGACTCAGTTACCCTCCAGGACTGAAGTGAGCGTGCACTAGCCGTTTCCTAGCAGACTACTGAAGTCCTGAGTCCTGACACGGAACTGTCTTCGGTAGCGGAATCTTAGCTTGTCACAAGGTTTGCCCAGTAATGGGCTGAACTTCTAACCCCACTGAAATAAATAACAAGCCTCAAAACTCATTAAATTTCCCTCCGAAGGGCACCCTCACTCCCACACACACAAGGAGGGCGGCGCGGAGGACGGCCGGTCAGGAATGTGGACGAGAATGCGTGGGAACCCGCGTGCTCTCCGTGGCTTGCAGGCGGCGTGCTTGAGCGTTTGCTCAGGCCCCTCCTGCCAGGCTGGCCACGGGGCTGTGAGCAGGGACAAGGCCAGAGGCACGGGCTAGTTCTGCAGGGCAAGGTCTGGCGGGCTCTGCATGGGTAGGCCAGCTGACCGTTGGACTTCAGCACTCAGAGCTCACTGCTGGAGTTCCATCCCCTTCTGCCTTGTTCACGAAGAACTGCCAACAGGAGCACCGTGCTCGCTATGTGCCTGGCACTCTGCTAAGCACTGAAAATATATTAGCTCATTTAGCCCTCCCGTCCAGAGGAGCAAATCGAAGCCCACAGGAGTTAAGGGAATTGCTCAAGATCAAAGAGTGGTTAACGGCAGAGTGGGGGCTGGCTGCTCCAAGAGTTCACGTACAGAATTATTAAGCCTTGCACGCCTGACTCCAAATGTCTCCCTGTGGCCCCTTGTTTCTGACAACAGATAAAATGGCCTCCTCTTAATCCACACCCTTGGCTCTCTTTCCCAGCTCCCACCACTTCCCACCCCACATTATCGCCTTGGTAACAAGGAAGTAGACCTCTTTCCAGATGCTCCCCCCAACCCCTACTCTACCTTCCTCCCTCACACCCCCCTCGGGAAACATACACATCTTGGAGTGGGGTCCTCAGGAAATGCAAGTCTGGTTATTTCACGACCTGCTGAAATCCCCTCAAATTGCCCGTGGGCCAAAGACCACGATCCCACTCGGTCTGGTCTTTGCTAGCTCTGCAGCCTCACCACAGGCCTGCTCCTCGCTCCGCCCTCTGCCCAGGTGCATGCTCTGTCCAGGTTCCAGCCGCGCCTTCTGGAAAGCCTTTTCCTCTTGGTCTGCTCACTTGACCTCAGCCTCGCCTGAAGCCAGTCCTCTAAGGGCTTCCTGACACCTCTCCTTCGACACAGGACTGCCCGCCCCTCCTCTGAAACCTCCCAGGCCATGAATCTCTGCGGACCTGACCACGCGGCGCTGTGACCACCTGCCTGTCCTACGAGACAGGAAGTTCTTAGAGAGCAAACACAGTCTTATTCACGCCTGCGATTGCCCCCCAATGACTCGGGCTTTTGACCGGTGTTAGTTCAATGAACCACTTTCCTCTTCTGTGTCTATTTTAATACATTCCGCCCCAGATACAAATTTTGGGATTTGCAGGACAACAAGCAGTGCAGTTGGCCTTAACGCCTCCTTTGAGGCTCTGCAATTCCTGGTGGACTAGTGGGCCTCCTAGAGATAGCGCCACAGATTTTTTGAGGATTACCAAAAAAAAAAGCTTTTCACCGTAAGAAGTGTTTAGTACCTATTGGTAAGTTCCCTCTGAGTGCCCTCCCAGCTCAATAGTAATTTCCATAATAACAGAACTATAATAATAGTAATAATTGTTACTAATGGTAACGCAACAATGGTAACAAGATACGGAAACTTACATTTAGGATTATGGATCGAAGGTGCTTCTGTGCAAATGCATTGGCCATATCCTATTGAGAAAAATAAGCCAACATAAGGCATGGTGGCAGGCACACAGTTGTGACAGCTATGAAGAGGAAGGTGATGTCATAGCTCTGGGGCTTTTTCTCTTACATTTTTATTCCTTTCAAACAAAAAGTGGACAAACAGAAAAAAAATTCCATGGACCACCAAATGGATTTTATACTTTAACAAATTCCCTCACATTTTCCTTTGTGAGCACAAATGAACTTAAATAGGGTTTCCCTTCCCACTGGCACAATCGACCGCGTCATCTTCAGAGAGGGACAAAGACTGCGTCAGGACAAGACACTGTGGTACAGGACGCGGGCAATGGACAATGCACACAGAGCACAGAGCAGCATGATGGTCCCCACACCGCACCCCCTGGTCATGTCCCAGGCAGACGCCGCTGCCCGGGCTGGAAGGGGCTCTGAGGAAACAACTCCAACCCGGCCGAGGGCAGGGCTTTGGCCTGCACCCCGCCCACCCCGTGGGCCCTCACCAGCAGAGGGGGCTGGGCGTGGCCGCTCTGGCGCAGCAGGGAGTTCCCAGCTCACTTCTGACTTGTCGCGGAGAACGTGTTGGGTGCTTTGGGGTAATTTTTCCTAATAGGGTCACTTTTAAAATTATATTTGGTTCCGATTTTAACGGTGACACTTTACCTATTTAACTCTCAGGAAAGTATCCTACTTAAGTGAATCTTCCAGGGACTGAAGCTTTAAGGGTCCTCTCAGGACCATTACTTGGACCATTCTTATGCAAATCTTCTAAAAATACACTATATTCACGTGTTTATTTCGGAAGAGACTGCAGTGATTATATTTTAATCACTGTCAAGGACTTGGGGTCGCCGGAAGGACCATCCTTTATTCTCCTGGGTTGTGGCAGTGTAACGCCCTAGAGGAAGGGCTGAAGCGTGGAGCCCTTTTCCCCTAACCAAACCGCTCCCGGATCGCCAAGCTTTTAATTTTCCTGACAGCTTTTCACAATTCTCTGACTCTGCCTTTCAATGTCAGCCATTGCTTCTTATAATGTTAATTAGTATGACTTCACTTTCCAAACTGCTGCCTTAATTTAATTTACAGAGAACTGCAGGTCCATTGGCCTGAGGGAGCTGCCACGTCTCTCATGGAGCAATATCCACAAGTCCTGTCCTTTTCTCGCTCACGTCTGGATTTCTGGCCACACGCCAAATGGCCAATGCTGCCAGGAACACTAAGTTTTACTCCACACGCCCTGAGCGCAGGGCGGCTGGAGGAGGAGGGGGTGGCCCAGAAACCTCTTTGGTAGCTACAGGAGGTCAGCTTGAGATGATGTCTTGCTGTGGACAAGTAACAAAGCAGGCAACACAGTGGTCTATGGCTGGAGTATAAAGGCCTTAACCCAAAAGCTTCTCTGTGGGGCAGGTGGGGGGGGGGGCACTCATCCTTTTTCAGATCCTTGCAGAGCTGGCCTTCCTCTAAGCTCCCTCTCACAGGAAACGAGCAGCCAAATCCTCTCTTGTCAACTGTCTAAACCTTTTCAAATTCCCACGGTCCCGTCGGCGTCCAAAAAGGCATGGATTCACCTTTACACTTCGCTGTATCAGGTTGGGAGGTGATACGTCATGGTATCACTTAGCTGGAAGCCACAGGCTGTTTCTGAATGTGGCCTTCCCGGGATGACCCACAGATACGGCCACGTAAAGGCAAGTTACAAAGGGAAGACTGGGTCACATCCCCTAGGACAGGCATCACCTTAATCCTTTATGTGACTCTCATCTGCACTATGGCCTCGCGGGTCCAGGCAAATGAGATTTACAGCACACAGCCTTCTCCTGTGTCTTGCGTGCCCCGAACATCTAGATGAGAGCTGAGGTCCTTGCCCAGCTGTGACCTCCCCGCCCGGATGGGAGTGGGGGCCCTTTCCACACAGCAGTGCTACTTACAGTGACAGGCAGGTCTAGAGGATTAAGGTGCTTGTCCTGCCGGCAGAAAGCAAAAAGCACAGAGAGAAGCAGATGGACGAATGAGCTTCCGGCTTACATTCAAAACAGGACCAGGAAGGAAGAGATTAACGGAGCAAAGCCATCCAAGAAAGACAGACAGACAGAACCACAGAAGCTCCAGGTCCTCCCACTAGACACCGCCAAGAAGTTGGTACGTGATCCCCCACGATTTTCACCTGCCTGAGCCCACGGCACGGACAGGCCACTAAAAAGTCTTTCTTTTGTACACAACTTGGGCTTTCAGCAGAGAAATCTGGAAAGTTAGTGTTGGAAGGGTCCTTAGAGATCTTTTAATCTGGCCCTTTCGTTTGACAGAAAGGAACTGAGACCCAGAGAGGTTAAGGCACGTGTGCTGCCAGTGGCAGGGCACCTTGAGGCCCGGGACTCTTAGGTCGGTGCTCCTCCCCCTGCCCAGGCGATTCACTTGTAAAACCGGGTCTGGGTGGCCTCATGACATCCTTACGAGGTAAACGAGGCAGAAGTGGCTGCTCCCATGTTACAGGGGAGGAAACGGGTTCAGAGTGGAATCATTTGCACAATGTCACACAGCTAATTCACAGGGGAAGAAAGAAGCGTGGAACCTGGACCAGCAGATCTTTATACATGAAACTTCAGGCCAAGTCCCTCTCCTCTTGCTTCCCATTTGTCTCGGTCTCCTTGGGCTCAATAGTGATGCCCAGAGGATCTCCTCTCACATCCTGATCTTCTAACCTAGGGGTTGGCAAACTAAGGCCAAATGAGGCGCGTTGCCTGCTTGTGTAAATAAGGTCTTGTCAGACACAGCCACACTCCTTCATTTATCTGTCTGAGGAGACGTTCGGCTACAACGGCAAGGCTAAACAGTTGCCATGTGGACCGTGTGGCCCACAAAACGAAACATATTTACCCTCTGGCCCTTAGAAGAGCAAGTTTGTAGGCCCCTGCTCTAGCCTAGGACCGCAGCTGGTTTTCCTGTAAGCTCCCCTCGGCCTTCCTTAGCAAAGCCGCTCTGATGGGCTCAGGCCTGAGGGACAGGAGAAAGGACTCTTGGGAAAATGGCTGGCTTTCTGCTCTCTGCAAGGGATAGGGTGGGTGGGTGAAAATTCTTCTCTTGGAAGAGCCCAGATGGAAAGCTTGAAAAGGCAGCCACAGACCTGTCTCTTGTCCTCAGGAGCCTTCAGAAAAAGTGCGTTGATCAAAGCAATGGCGTAGGTCTGAATTTCCTGGTTGGAGCTGTGCCAACGGAGAAAGAAGGCAGAGGAGATGAGAAGAGTGACCAGCAAGACGATGCTTAGAGATGGTGCATAACATCACTCACAGGTGATAATCAAGTAATAATCCGAGGCTGCATCTCAACAGCCTTAAAAGCGTTCATTCAACAGGTGTCAACTGAGCTTTTACTTAAATCTAAGCAGGGGATATGAAAACAATTGGTCCCTGTTCCCAGAGAGCTCTGTCTAAAATGAGAGACAGATAATAAAATATAGAGAGTTTTACGTAAATATAATTATCAGAGGTACAAGCAGAGCCTATTTGGCCCAGAGAGGGGGAAGTATCGGATTCTGCCTGGCATCGCGATGGTACAGGAAGATTGGAATAAACTTCGCCTCATCCGAAGGGGCAAGGAGAGTTCCGGAGCATTTTGCGCAGGGGCCTGACACCATCAGGTCTGTGTTATGAGAGGAGGCTGGTCGGAGTGTGGAAGAGGTGATGGCTGATTGAACAAGCAGACCGGCAGCCTGGAATACCAGCAGGGCGGAAGGGGGGCTGGAAGACTTGGCAGCCTGAGAGAGGAGACGAGACAGGGGAGGAAGGCGGGGGAGGGCCCCTTACTCACACCTGCAGGTGACCGATGAGCTGCCCCACGGTGATTTCCTCCGCTATCTTCTGGTACAGGCTCTGGCTGTTCAGGACCATGCTCTCCAGGATGGCCAGGGACCTCTGCAGGATGGACACGTCCACCATGGGCTGGCTCACGTACCCTGCAATCTAAAGCCAGAGGGGCCGGTCCGTCGGGGGCGCAGGGCCCCCTGGGAAGCCGGCCGGCCGAGGTCCCTGATGCTAGCCCACGAAGGCTCTCGCCGCCCAGGACTGCTGCCCGCACTGGGGCAGCTGTCCCTAGTGGAGGGCGGTGTCTGGGGTACGCTACCTCGGCCGGCCTGCCAGGGAGTCCGTCGGCATGGCTAACTCAATGCCAAATTACAGTATCCAGCCAACTCTTTCCTCAAAACCTAAGGGCTTAATTCTTTGTTTTCAAAATAAGGTTCAGGTGTGGCCAAGCTGACTCCAGGAGGCAGAGGATCTCGCTGATACCAGGGTATCGCTGATACCTCCAGGAGCTCTTCTCCTGCCGCACACACTGCGGCCCTGCACGCGCGCAGGACAGCAGCGCTTTGGAGAGGCACAAAGGCCATTCAGAGCCTTATCATCTAATCTCCCTTCTCTCTCCCCGTGGTAATATCCTGACACCTGTCATGTCCCTTTTGCCAAAACAGCTCCGGCACCAGGAGGTTCCCAAAGTCCCACGCCGATGATAGGTGTAATTCTAGGTCAGGACACAGTATCCACTGGTGTTAGCTCAGTTTTCTGAACCAACGTTGCCCCTTCTTGTAAAAGAAAAGAAGGCAAAACCAGAAGTCTCCACTCCTATCGACTGAGTCTAATCTGACGGTCTAAACAGGCTGCCAGCTGATTTGTAAACGGGAAGCAGGCTTGTTAATTTAAGGCAAATGCAATGAACACTTTTTATCAAAGAGAAGGGAGAGCTAGGAGGCAGGTCAGAAGACTCAGGGATGATCCTGCTGGCTGATGGCTGGTGCGCTCCCAAGTCTCACCGACAGTCAGTGCCTCTTTGGCCCACGTCGGCTCCCAGAGCCCAGTTCCATCGTCCCAGAGCAGGCCCTGGGGGCACCGCAGAGTAAGCCTTTCTGGAGCCCCCAGAAGACCAAAGCTTAAGGATGAAAAACCTGGCCTCGGGGTAGAAAGCCGACCCTCACAACAAGCAGTGTTGCCTGCAGCTCTGCTTGGCCTGGAGCACAGCGGGCGGCGGAGGGAGGAGAGAAAGAGGGAACGTGGAAAGCCTCACCTGCTTAATGAAGGTGATGGAAACCATGTCCCAGGAGACAATGCCGTGGTCCATGAGCTCTAAGAAGGCAGTCAGGGTGAATGCCAGCATCTCACTGTAGCTGAGACATGTGCAAAACACACACACAACAATACAAAGATTCAAAACCGGGAACAGGTGGGAAGAAAGCCACAATGGGATGGATTTCAGTGTTAGCACCACAAGAGCGATCAGTCGACGCAGCTCTGAGCCAGCGCCCGCACGCACACCTAGGCAGATGGGGAGCAGGTTCTGCCCAAGTGTCCATCACTGAAAACACAAGGCTGCTGCGTGATTAGGCTTCCCTTCTCTGTGTTGCCTCATCTCGGAAAACAGACCCACTTAACCATTTCCGGAGAATAAGAAAAATACTAGACCTCTGTCAAACGTAACACTTGGTGGACGTACTAGGAAGCTTACATTCCATGTTCACTGTTAGGACCCAGAGGCAGCAGAGTGCAGGAGAGAGTACAAGCTTTGGGCATGGGTACAATTTCTGCCCAGGTGTTTACTAACTGTGCAAATTTTACCTTCTCAAACTTCATTTTCTTCCTCTATAAAACCATGTTAATCTCACAGGGTTGTCGGGGGAGCAAGGCGACAATGTATGCAAAGCCCTTAGCCTCATGTTGATGGAAAATAAGGATGAAAATGTTCTCTTTCCTTTGTCTCTCCTCTTTATACATTAAATCCTTTCTATTTCTGTAGAGTGCTTCATAATTAACAAATTATATTCCCACATACAGAGCATGTTCAGATCCATTCTCATTAACAGGGCTCCTCACGACAGTCCTGCAAGGTAGGTATCACCCCCATTTCAAAGGGGAGGAAACGAAGGCCCCTCTAATCCTGCACTCTTGGGAGACTGCAGAGCTCTTGGGCCAATGCTGTTGACAGTGAAAACGTTAGGATTTTCTAGGACTTAAACAAATACCCATGATTAGCTGCTTGGTTTGGCTGAAAATTTCAATAGCTGATCCAGTGGCTGAAAGATTTCTGACTCCCTGTTTGCTAGCTTGGGCTCCAGAGGCTCCGAAGGAACACTAAACATCTGCCTACTCATTGCTGATCCCAACAACACACAGTTTCCCACCATGTTCGTCTAAGCACGGGCGTGGTGAAAGGACGGTCGTGGTGCATCGCAAAGCCCTGGATCTCCTCCAGTCTGTGAAAAGTGGGGGTAGGGAGACAGCGAATGGGTAGGGGGCAACCTATGGTGAACACAGAAGGGCCTGTGCGTGTGTGCGGAGTGGGGGTGATTGGCAAGAGAGGGGGGCAGGGGGAGGTTAAGAATAGACAGATACCTGTTCTAGTCAATAACAGATAGTCTGCTCACTAACCTCCATCAGGCCAATCGTTTTCCATTAATCTACAGGTCTGTTGTGAGCAGACCTCTCTCTTCCTGAGTTCTGTGGCCCCTATTTTTACTACTCACCTGGCACAGTACTGTTTTGTGTGAGAGCCCAGTTAGATGATAAGATTTAGGACCACAAGGATGAGCTATATCCCTCCGCGTGGACTCTAGTGCTTGGCACACTGCTCTGTGTACAGATGGTGTTCGAAAAACTTGTTTGACTCAACAGGAATGAGAATAGGGCGCTCTGCAGAGAGCAGCAAACCTCCGAAAGCCCCAAATGAGACCCCCGTAACACTCACTGGGACAAGAGCTTGGTTCCACTTTCCACAAGCCGCGTGAGCACCACGATGCCATCCATGTTGATGAACTCAGTGGCGAAGGTCACATCGGCAGACAGCTTAGCCAGCTCCTTCATGGCGTCCAGCCGGGTCTCCATGCTGGACGACTGGGTCCGCTCCATCAGCTGCCGCGCAGCCCGGGACTGCGAGGGCAGAACAAGACATGTGCCATTGGCTCTGTGTGGCAGGTGACTGCTTTGCGGAGAGCTCTGAGGGGCCCGTTCTGGGAACATCCAAGCCTGGGGCAGAACCAGTTTCTCCACTGCTTAGGAGCTGCTCAGTAAATGTTTCTGGATCGGTCAGGAATTACCAGTGTGCCAAGAGCAATCCTGTAGTATCTGTATCCTTACTCTACTCCTCTGGTCTATGTATTAAAAAAATTCCCACCAGGGGAATACAGACTGATCTGGGAGATGACAGTCCACTAACTATGGCAAGATCAACAGAAAAACAGATACTGGTTCCATATGGGGCAGTCTTCTATGAATTAAAGCCGTCAGACAGTGGAAGTGGCTGTCCCTTGAAGTAATGAGCTCTCCACCACTGGAAGCAGTCAAGGGGAATCTAGACAACGTCTGTCCAAGATACTACAGAGAGGATGTCTGCACAGGGTAGAGAATTTAATGAAGACCCTGAAGATCCCTTTCTATCTGAAAATGTGATAAGCCTCACAATTTTTTGTTTAACTTTCTCTCAAATTCTCCATCATTGCTCCTCAAAGAAATAGTCCTGGGGAAACTTTCAGAATATCAAGGAGCGGGAAGTAGCTAATTTCAAAATAGCTTTTTGAAGATGAGGACTGGTGACAAAGCCTCCTCCCAGCACAGGAGTTTTCCTGGCAGAATGCTTGCCTCGGCGCTGCAAGCTCCAGCTACAATCCCTCCTCTATGATCACTGATCTTTCCTTTTGCTGAACTTATTAACTTTACAGTCAGTGCCTCACAATTTACCGTTTCATCATTCTCTATTTCTGGTGTGTTCGTTTAATGTTCTCAGTTGGAATGGAAGTCTTGAGAGCAAAAATGCTCCACGGTTTTTAATTCTTCTTGCAGAGCTAAGCAAGTGACTGACGCCCAGCCTTGCTGCCGGCAAGGAGTCGGGGCTGTTCGCTTCGCTCCCCGCCGCCTGCCCTCCATGACCACCCGGGAGGGCCCTGTCACAGCACACTCGCTGCTCTCGGTGATACAGAAACCCTTCACGATCTCCGCGGAGGAGAAAACGTCCTCCAGGAGGGAAAGTCACAGGAGAGAACAATTTGAAGAGCGCTGGTCTGCATCACACTCAGAAACTTCCAACTCCAAATGTTAATGTTCCTCCCGAGACAGGGTTTCTGGGCGGCTGCCTCCCGCGTCAGAGAGACGTGCCTCTGGGAGAGCCAACTGCTCCACGAGGGAGGTCTGTGAGATGCTCCAGCGCGTCTATAAAAGCGAGTGACTCCCAGGCTGTGACAGTGAAGCAGCAGAGCTAAGGGGGGATAGCGCAGCCCCTAAGACGAGGTTGGGAGAGGGGAGCGGAACGTGTCGGTGAGAGTACTGGCCTAGAGTCAGACAGGCCTGGGTAGGAGAGCAGACCCTGCCATTTTTAGCTGGCGGGCAAGTTATTTCACCTCTCGGTTTCCCTGTCCGCCAAATGGGGCTGTCAGGAGTACCCGTCCCATCGGGTGTCCGTCAGGATTAAAGGGTACAGCAGACGCAAAGTGTTTAGCAAAATACAAGTGGTCAGGAAGGAGTGGCTGTTACTACTCCAAGGCTCCCTTCCTCCCAGTCAAACCAGCCTCTCTTGTCAAGAAAACAAGTGCCATCACGCCCTTCATTTCCGGCAGCTCTTCTGCACGTGCACCTCCACGTTCCCTGAGCCTAGTCTCCTCTCCCGGGGCCGAGCAGCCAGGGTGCGTCCCTCCGCCTGGGCTTTGGGTTCCCCGTCCTGGCCCAGGAGGGTCCTGTTCCATCGACTGCCCTCTCTTTCCTGCACGGCCAGCCTGCCCCTCGTCCACCTTCACATACTTCCGAGGACACGTTAAAAACTGCAACAGGAGTTTAAAAACTGCACAGAGTTGGAGGCGGCGAGGAACTGGGGAGCCGAGGGACGGCGGCGGGGGACGGAGACCTTTCATTGTATCTTTGTCAAAATTTGATTTCTGAAACACTTGAACATTTTACCTTTTTCTGAAAAGCCCATCTTTTGGACTTTTCTGAGTTACTACTGTCTCCACCTTCCTTCCTTTATAACCAAGCTTCTTGGTAACGTGGTAAACTCAAGGTTCTCGTTTTTTCACTCCTTTTTACTCACGACGATCCGGCTCACCCCACCAAAATGGTTTACAGGAAGCTCGCTCGCCAGTGGCCGAGTGGCCTCCCATGCCAGCAGTGGCCTGTCCCCAGCTTACCTTCTCTCCCTGCCCCTGCAGGCCTCACCGCCTTCCCTCTCGACACTGCCCGCCCGCAGCGCATCAGCCATTTCCGCATCAACCACTTCTCCCTCCTGGCTCCCTTCCTGCCCTTCTGGCTGCTTCCTTAGCTACCTTTAAAGGCAGGATTCTCCCCTTTCCTTCCACAACCAGCATGTCGCCATAGTCATCCACTTGACCTCTAACTATTCTTCATGACCATTCTTTTGTCTCCATTGCCATTTGCCTCTGCGGACTGTTAACATTCCTTATTGGTTTCTTCAAAGACTCTTCCTGCCACCCGTCTTCCTTTTCTTGGCGCATCTTCCACCTTATCACTAAAGTGATCTTTCTAAAATATAAATCTAAACAGAATATACCTTCCCGCTCAAAGTCTTCCAGTGTTTCCACGTTCTCTTCTAGGTAAGATCCAAACCCACGCACAGGCCACCGGGAACTCCAGTGTCTGGCTTCTCACTGACTGCCACAGACCCTTGGCCACCGGGACCCCCGCCTTCTCCAGACAAAGCCCCTCTCTCTGCCGGGAACACTTCATTTTCTTGTCTCTTCAGCTATTCTTCTTGCTCTGCCCTTAACATCTGAGCTACATGTTCCCTTCTCTGGGAAGCCTTTCTGGGAATCCTTAGGCTGAGCCAGACGGTCCCTTTTCTGAGTCCCTACAGCTCCCTAAGCAACTTTCCGTCAAGACCCTTGAGAAAGACCATATATTGTACTTGTTTGTTTACTCCCAGCCAGGCTGTGAGAGCAAAGAATGACGTGTTAATCGCCACCATCTCAGTTTCTAGAACAGAGGCTGACCCAGGGGAGATGCTTATATATGTTTGTTAGATAAATGAACTCCTCAGGAAAGCAGAGTACCTACCGGGGAGACAGCCAGCTGTAAGATTGTCCCATTCTTAATGTCACTGCGAGTCTGGGGAACAGAGAGAAAAAAGAGTAACTGAGATAAAATATTAAAAGCATGTAAGCAAGCTGAATCAACAAGAATTTTCTGCCATTTTTAAAGGGGCTGTAACTGAGACTCTTCGGTTGGGCCCTCTCCTCCTGGGGCTTGCTTCTTGGCACAGGACTCCTAAGCCCTCTTCATGGGCCCTGGGCTTGCAGGGAGTAAGGCCACGGTGTTCCAGCCAGTGGTGGAGAACAAGGGCTGGTGCTCCTGGTCTGCCCAGCAGGCAGCCAGTCCCCGGCGAGGGGAGCTACCTGGAAGTAACTAAGGCAAACAGCGTGCCCTCCTTGGGTCATTCGCTGCACAGCAAGGCCTGTGCTGGTCTGCCGTTCCCGGGACTGACCTGCTCGGTGATGTAGAGCTGAGGCCCATCCGCGTACCGAAGGGTGTAATACTCTGGGTTTGGCAGCGACCACCTGTGCAAGAGAAAAATCGGTCAGCCCGTTTGGCCACCCCTCTGGGCCTACCTAGAAGCTGCAAATAAATAATTTCAGCAGAGCTGCTCAAGGGAATCGGGCGGCACGTTTGGAGGACCGGAGGACAAAAATCAAAGCTTCAGGTTGAGGTGTTGATAAAATAACCTCAAGGTTACCAATAACCTTGTAAGACTGGCATCACCAAAAGAGGCACACACAATGCAGCGTGGGTCCACCAGGACCTCAGGCAGGGCACTCCAGGACTTAAAGGGAAAACTAACTGTTCTCAGAGGTCAGAGGGAAAACCTCATTAGCTAAACTCCCTTTGTAAGACAATGGTCACAAAAGCCCCCTCCTGAGGACCTGACTGACAGGAGGCCCTTCAGCAGAAGCAGTTCAAAGCCTGGCGGCGCCCTTCAGTCTGTAGCTTGCCGTCACCCACAGCAAGGGAGTTACAGCTTACCCGTCGCAAACTTCCCTGATGATGGACGCCAGGGGCCGTTTCTGAAAGAGAGAGACAGATCCTTCAACCACAGCCTCCTCATGCCACGAGGGGCTGCCGAGCTGCGTCGACAGGGGCGCCTGGACTGCCTCCCTGAGGGCTCGGCCGAAGAGGCGGCCTCTCGCAAGCCAAGGCGCCCAACCTCCCCCAGCGGGGGACGGGCCTCAGCTCTCCTGTTGCTGGTTCTTACTCCCCACGCCAGGGGTCCCCGCCGCCAAGGACATCCTCTGCCACGTACTTCCCAGATCCCCGTCCTTGCATCAGTGTTTCTCATTTCAGGAGCTCACCTGGTCGATTTCAAGGAGCTGAGCGTTAGCACCTGGCCACTCAATGGCCACTTTGACAATATCTGATGGCGGTGGCATCGTTCCCAACGGGCCCTGCTTGTCCAAGATGCACACACAGACACAGCTGCCTGGGGAGGAAGAAGCAGAAAGGAGGAAAACGTCACCGAGTTTGCCTTCACCTTTCACCCCTGTCAGATATCTTGGAGAACGGAAAGACGGCCAGCGTCCAAAGGCCCAACACATGAAACTACTTAGTCTGAATTTTTCTAGATCACACCACAATCTCTCCTTGGGCTTTTTGTCTCTTTAGATTAAATCAGCAAGTAGAAATGGGACAAACCTATCTGACAGCTGCAGCTCAGCCCCTAGCAAGACCTGCATACGCTTCAGTGCAAGAGGCAGGGGGACTCCGGCAGAAGCGCGTGTTCACTGCAAATTCCTGTCTTGGGACCTTGAGAGGGAGAAGCATATGCTCTGAGGCGGGTAAGGACAGATGCAGCCACCTCTCGGTCGAGCAGTCAGCTAAAGGAGCCAGCCTGCCTCTGTCTGTAGTCCACCCAGGGAGAGCCCAGCGCCAGCAGGGCCCGGCCACATGCTCTCGTGCCTCCTCCCTAGCCGTTGCTGCCACCCCGTCCCCTTCAAAGAACACAATGTGGGGCCTCCTCCGTGTGGGATGATGCAGAGTTCAGAAGATGGGGAAGAGAACGGGGACAGGAAATGTTATTTTAGTAGCTACTGTCAAGGGCAAGAGTTCTGAGAGCTCAAGTGTAGGGAGGTGAGGATCCCCTCACATAAAGACCTCTGTGGAGAAGGACAAGGCTTTGGACAAGGCTCTGATCCCCTCCCCCACTTCTCTCCAAGATAAAGGGAACTAAATCATTTTGAGCAAGTCTGGAAGGTGGGCCCACGTGACCGATATCCTAGGCAACTCCGCTAGCTTAGTGGTATTCCAAGCAGTAGCTAAAGCAACCTCTCTCCAAGTCTGATGGAGTGAAGTCGCGCGACTGATGGGTTATTTCGTGTGTACGTACACTCCTTGCCTGCAGGTTCAGGAGAGACCTCTCTTAATGAAAAAGACCTTTCTCCTGCCCCTCCCAGGTTCAGCCCTTTGCCTGCAATTCAAGCTTCGCTGGCGGAGAGGGCCTGCCTCCCCCGAAACGCGCAGCAGCGCTGCGAGGAGCTGTAGTCCCCGTTCCCTTTCCATTTTCCAGCCCAAACACAAAGGTCACTTCTCACAGCCTTGTCAGCAAGGGGGAAAGCAATAAAAGTCCCGTCGCCCGTCCCCTACAAACCTGAAAGAGGGAAGCTTTCGCGACCACTTCCCGATCAGGACGGGCTGCTTCAGAAGTCAACAGTCAAAAATGCAAGCATTTCAAGAACATGACAACGTAAAAGAGATGGTTTTCAAAGGCTCCCACTTAGTTTGTGGAATCCTCCACGCAGCCTTATGAAGTAGACAGAATAGATCACCTCCATGTGAAGGTGACAAAACGAAGCTCAGAGTCTTGGTAAGTTGCCTGGGTTCATCCAGCTCCTAAGCAGAGTAAAGGGGACAGAACTTGGAGCTGACTTTGGCCAGCGCTCTTCCTGCCGCCCCCTCCCCAAGCCTCAATTTCTGTTCATGGCAACTAAATCAACCCTGAACGGAGGGAGGAGGCCTGGCCTGACAGCCCCGAAGGCTTCCACAACGCCTGTATCTCCAAGCCGAATTTTTCCTGTGTAATTGCTACGTGCCTACACACACCACAAACCCCTGTGCAGAAACTGGCCCCAGGTTGGACCGCTCTGCTCCAGTGACACAGCAAAGCAGGGGCGGAAGCAGGAACCTCCCAGCACTAGGGCGGGTGTCCTCACCCTGGTCAGTAAATCTGCCGTAATCAGGGGTATGCCTGTCAGTTGTGAGGTATCCTTTACATACGATAAAATGCACAGAGCTTTTATATATATATATATATATACACACATACATACATACATATTTCAATTAGATACACAAAAGAAATACACACGTCTCCCTGTAACCACCGCCCAAGGCAAGAAAACTCCCTCCTGCTCCCTTCCAGTCAACCCCTGCCTCCCAACCCTCCAAGAGGCGACTTCTCTCTGAACTCTACCACTCACCTGCCCGTTTGTGTGCTTTATATATACGGAACTGAACATTACAGCTTCCTAGATCATTTGATATTTAGAGCAGTTCTCCTTGTTTGTAAAGTAAGCAGACAGCACAGGCACAAGAGAAAGAGCAGGAGGCTGGAATGATCCCCCCGCGAAGCAGCAACTGGATTTCGGGCCAAAGGACTCGGGACCCAGTCCCAGTCCCTTCACTAAGTGTCTGGGTGATGTGTACGCGTCTCTTTTACCCAAGTGCCAGTTTTCTCCTCCTGTGCCATGTGAGTGTTAAACCATGGCCCATAAGATGTGTTCTAAGACTAAAAGTCCATGCTAAAGTAGAACTTAAAATTCAAAGGCAGAGTGCCCGTTGCAAAGTCCTCACTGAAAGAAGCTACACTCTTATTTCAATGGCGCTGCTAAGAATCAAATCTTATTTTCTGGAACTCCTTTCTGGATACTGTCTTTGGAGATAAACAAGCTAAAGCTCATGAAGTTACAGTTCCACTTTACTTTGACCCCATATGGCATCTCCTAGGTTGATTGTTTCTTTCTTTATCGAATAAGTTAGCCCTGAGTCATTCCTGGCTGTTCCAAAAATTTATATCCATTTTAAAGCTTGGAGATTTGCAACCACTGAGACTATTCCCGAGACACTGTAAACCCCAATCTCAGCAACTCTGCCCTTTCCCACAAAGCCCAGGCAGCCCACGGGTGTTGAGTGGCCTCTTCCCTACCGTGCCACAGCTGATGGACCGAGGTGACCACTCAGTCTTAGCTGGAGCAGACTCTGGAACTTAGAGACAAAGTCCAAAAGTTGGATGGCAATGGGCCCTGGCACAGAAAGGGGGTGGTCAGCCTCAGAGCAGGCACCATGGCAGGCCAAGGTCATTCCTAAGCCAAACATATGGAGACGCAAAAACCAAGAGCCTTGCAGAGGAAGCTGCTCTGCAGAAGGAGCCCAGAAATGTACAGACGGGCAGAGGCTAGAAACCAGAAACCACCAAGTCCCAGAAAGAGATGGAAGAAGCCACTGCCTGATGCCTTTCCAACTCCATGGCCACACATCTCTTACGCTTGTAGCACCTGAATTCCCCAGTTTCGCGCCAGTAAAACTCCTTTAAGTTAAACTAGGCTGCATTTCCATTCCCTGCGACTAAAACGCCTAAGACTAAGATTGACCCCAAGCTTTGAAGGAACCCTGAAATGGAGGACTGAACACACAGCGGCGTAACAGGCGTAAGATGATGCACCGAGCAGGCCCTTAATTAATGCTGGCTGAATGAATGAAGAGCAGAACCCACTTAGGTAAGTCTGGCTTGTTTAACACACAGAAGTTACGTGGTGACTTTATAGCACTCATCTTGTATAGAATAGTTATGTGTAGATGCCTCTTTAGAGTTGATCACGCACATCAACAGCATTATTGTAGCTGATGCTTCCAAGAACCCTGAAAATCATCCCTGTTTTACAGGCGAGGCAACTGAAGTTCGCATGGGTTGAGGAACTTCTCCACATGCCTCCACCTCAGGGCTGGGTCACAAGGCTAGGTCTTAGGGCCTCAGTGCTAGTTCTCTTCCCTCTGTGTAAGAATTCCTTTGATGACATTAGCTAACAATTACATAGTGCCATGGTCCTGTTCTAAGGGCTTTGCATACATTAATTCATTTAATCCCCACAGCAACCCTGGGCGATATGTTATGGTTCTCATTTACAGATAAGAAATTAGAGGCAGGCGAAAATTCAGTTCCACGCTCAGTGTCACACAGCTAGGGAGTGGCATGGCCAGAATTTGATCCCAGGCAGCCTCGTGCTGTTGGAAAGCCAGGTGAAAGCTGGCAACACTGTGCCTGGCCCACAGCAAGTGCTCCGGGGAGAACTTTGGTTTGCTGTACAGGAAGCTAGAGTACACCGAAGCTAAGAGACCCACAAACAGCAGCTCACTATTTGAACAGATAATGCTACTTCACTGTCTGAAGTATTCAGTCCTTCACTACCTAGCCAGCTCTCCCTGGACTACCGGCTATTTCTGCAAGGCAAGGACTTGTTCCTTCCTTTCTTCTGTACTTTTGCATATTCTCTTCCTTCCTGTGACTGTCAAGAGCTCCTATTCAAGCTTCAAAGTCCAGTTCAAATGCCACTTCCTCTCTGTACCATTCTTAGCTTTCCCTAGCAAAATAAAATAGGATGTACACAGCTCTCATTTCAGTAGCTCCTCCTCCCGGGCAGGCGGCACTCCCCTCGAGTCTCCAGACCTAGCAGAGCACCAGGTTCAGGGAGCACTGGCGTCTGCGCAAATCCCCCGGCTCTGACTTCCTCAGCGCCTATGGGCCAGGCCTGCTCTACGTGCAAAGGGACTGCTATGAATTGTCCTAGTTGCCTGATGTTCCCTTCATGTCCCACCACCTCCCAACTACACAGGATTTCCCCTGTGTAAAGCTTTGTTTTCATATTGAACATGAGAATGTGTTTCACTGGAAAATCTGATTTAGTACCTGTGACTCTAGCGACAAGAAAGGGGGAAATATTCCTCTGCCTTTCTCCCTGTAGAAACATCAGGAGGCGGAGGCAAGAAGTAATGTTCTCCAGGCGACCTGCCCAGGATTAGGGACCTCCTTCTGGGGAACTCTTCCAGCGCTTATTTGCTTACCCTTTTCATTTTCATCTTAGAAAGGAAGTGGAAATTGGGTGGATGCGAGTCAATAACATTGCAAAATTCTCAGGGTTATAAACAGCCTCTTGCCCCACCACTCAGCAATCCCGTAGCGTTCACTGGCAACAGGGCAAGGGGGCTGTAGCCCCACACCCAGGCCCGGGAGGCAAGGAAGTAAAAGGCCCCTTCCTGACACAGCAGCTCTCCATCCCTCGCCCACCCACCGGCTGAAATTCTTATGGGTAGAATGCTGACTTGGAAAACTCAAAAGGACACAGAACAGGAGGCAGGTAGACACATTGATCTGAAGAAGATAATCCTATAATTTGGGAATTTAAAGCCCCAGTTTTCAAAGGCAGAGCTGGGGCAACAAGAGAGAAGTAGCAGAGCTACTGTCTCCAATGACACATTCTCCAAGAGGCTTCCGGAAGGCGCGCTTATCCAGTCAGAGCCAGGGAGCTTTCTCAATCAATCACCCAGGAGTCAGGGACTCCCCGTGGAGCTGGATTCCGACAGCCCATCTTTAAGAAAGGAAGTGAAAGTCAATCCCTTCCCATTAGTAAGGAATTCAGAATGAAGGATGCCAGGGATCCCAAGGCTCCCCTCCCCCCTTCCCTTTTAGGGTAGGATTGCTGACTTTTTGCTTTCTTTTGCTTTTGAGTCAGTGACGAAGGCACTGGTGAGTTGGTTTATGCTTCCTGCAGCAGAATCTGCCACACCAGGAAGGCAACTAGAGGTCACACCATCATCCTCATCAAGAACACAACCTTAACAGAGGCTTCTCCCTGAAACCCTCTCATCTGAGAAGTGACTCAACTCCCCTTAGTTGCAACCACTGAACTACAAGGAGGCTCTGAGGAACAGAAGAGGGTAGTCTGGCTGGCATAGAGGCGAGCATTCCTGCCCTGACATTCCCTGCTGGAAGGGCTGAGGAGGACCATCACACCAAAGGCGGCTGAGGTTTCTCCTTTTAGTTTAAATTTCTCGGACACAGGACTCATTTAAACATGTGGTTAAAAGCCACTAAGTTAGATAGAGCCAAAGTGTGGTGAGGAAGGGCGTGGAAACAGGGTGACAGTGTGGGCTTCTTCCGCTTAACATCTACCCTGCGAGTGGCCTAGGTCTCCTCTTACCCTGTGTAGAACCTTCTGCAGGGCTCCCGTCCCAATAGAACAGCGCTTACACAGCTCCACAGAGCTCTCGGCTTTCCCCAGTTCCACGTGGCTCTCATACTCTCCCTTGTAGGTGCTCCGTCCATGACACCAGGCCGCCTTGTTCCCTCAAACATCATGCTCCTCTAAGCCTGTACTTTTGCTGGTGCCATTGTCCCTTTCACCACGTTCGGCTGATACACTCCTACTCACCCTTCAAGGTCCAGCTCAGATAATCACTCTCTTAAATGGATTTCCTTGTCCTGTCACCGAAGGCAAAATGAATGGGCCTTTGTTGCGCGCCCTGTCTTTTATACACACCTTCCCGATCCCGCTGACTGAAAATTCTCTGCGGGCAGTGTCTTCTCCTGCCACTCAAAGTGTGATCTGCACCCTGGGAGCCCGCAGGAATGCAGAATCACCCACTGAACCAGAATCTGCCTTCAAACAAGGTCCCCTGGGCTGGTTCACATGCCCCTCAAAGTCTGAGAAGCA